CTGACTGGTCTATAAAATACGTCTAGCCCTATATGCCTGAAGGAGTGGTCTCTTTGAAAATTATAATCATGAACTGACATCACCAAAACACTGTATATTATCCAACCGATGCATAAATATCCAGATTCGTGTCTATATGACATATAGTACCAAATGTATGTGTAATTTATAACAATTGTTATTTCAAATATACACATAATATCAGACATTTAAACATGGCTCTAAGCAGAACATCAGACTTATTCTTCAATAGTTAAATGAGTGACGGACATGTTGTAGATTACACCTAAATTCGGCCCAGCACATTCAATTTAAACAAAGCCATAGTTTACCATCATGTGCCACATATTGCTTGCAGTCCATTCCTCCATATTATAGATGGAACCCAGTCCAGCTCCTTGGCCTCTCACATCATAGAATTTTTCCTTGGGTGTCCCCGCCTCCTTAATCCATTCAGTTAAAAACTCCTATTTAGTCACAATGTAAGAAATGCTTGCTAAGGGGCTGCATGTCTATTCTCTCCCCTGCCCCCACCCCCAAAAGGCTTCAGAACCATTGGGGAAACAGCTGGTATAAGAACTTGGAAATTAATCAATTCTCTGATAAGGAATTAATTATCTAAATTGATAATTATAATGTTTTTGATTTTGTCAAATAATTTACAAGACAACTACAGAAAACACACAGCAAGGAGAGACAAAAAAAAGGGGTAAAACATGCTCTAAAACAAATACAGAAAGAAAACACAAGAAGGAAAGCCAGTCACATTATAAATCTGCATTGTTTTAGTGCTTACTGGCTGCAAACTGTGGGTGGAAAGTTCTGGTTGTTTGTCCACTTCTGGACTTTGGTCTTGATCCAGAACTTGAGTTTTGCCTGCACATTCATTTGACAGATCTGGCTTATTTAAATGCAGACCGTTAGTTAGTTCCTTTCCTTACAGGCAAATAAACTCCAACTTCAAAGGAAAAACCCGTAATTAGTTGCCTTTAGGGGGATAGTGGGTCTAATCTCCTCCCCCCCCCCCCTTTTTTTCCCCCAAAATGAGGCCTCAGAAACCACACAGAAAACATAACAGAAGTTAGAGGGTGAATTTCTCGTGTGTTGTTAATGACCATGAGAGAAACAAAGAATAGTAAAGGCTCAGTGCTCCACGAGGAGATAAAAGACACAAGAAGAAGATAATGAGGACAACTGCCCATCCTCAGAAAGATTTAAACTCAGGACCACCAGGTTGACAAGAAGCTAATTGTACTAGTTTATGTGCTATCATGACTTTAATTACACCAGTCTCCTTTAAAAAAAAAATTTGCCACAACTGTAGAAAAAAATCTACAAAAATGTAAAAGATCTGGATAAGGGCAAAGTACTCTCATTACATGATGGCCAGGTAAGCATTAATCATAAGGATGAGAATGGAGTCAAGTTATTGAAGCACTGATCTGTGCCTAATTTAAGCTGTTTTCCAGTCTCTATTTGGAGCTTCTCTGTAGCAACAAACAGATGTGAGTCATGGACTATCTAACAGTTATTAAGGAAGAAAATACGGCTTCTGAGTTGAAATGCTATAGAAAGATTCTCAGAACACCGTGGATAAAGAAAAGAGGTACTGACATCCTAAAAGATGTGAACTTCAAGGAGAATTGGCTAATACACAGCATCTTGTCCCAGAAACAGAAAATTGTTGGCCATTTCAAGCGCCACAACAAATTACAAAGAACAGTAGCAAAAAACATAGTGCCAGGAAAGAGGGGAAGGGACCGACCAGCATGAAGATGGGCAAAGGATAAAAGTGACTCCTTGGGTAGGAAAGTGCACGAGGCGGAAGTTCTGGTGACAGACCCTGTTTCTTTGGGCAAGCTGTAATGAGAGTGACATTCTACAAAGGACCTGCTACATGATGATAACGATTTGGCGATCAGATCTAGGTGGGTATGGAATACTTTTTCCACTTGTAGTTTGAAACAGCCAATTGAATTTTGTGGATTTACTGTCCTTAGTTATATTTGGCTATATGGCAATAAGAGAATTTTGAAGACATCTAAAGTGGTAACATCATCTCATTGCATGTGATAGTGCAAGAATCTATGAACAACAAGATATGCACTGCTGAAGTGTGCATTTAAATATCCATCTGGCAGTAAGTTAAACTTAGGAGATTGGTGTAGGCAGATATAAATAATTAGTGAACTATGGGAAACAATCAATACATATTTTAGTTACTTTATGTTCTGGTCTTTTAAACACTGTGCAGGTGCAAACAGAATCAATAGTATTTAACTATACTTTCAGAGAACAGGTCACCGCGCGCGCACGCACGCACGCACAGACAGACAGACAGACAGACAGACAGACAGACAGACAGACAGACAGACAGACAGACATACAGACATACAGACATACATATATATTTCAGTGCATGTGTGCATGTCATCTACTGACAGAGACTTGTGGTGTTTAAAAAAACTAAATAAAAAAAAAAAAAATGAAGATCTATAGAGTGAGCAAAAAGTAAAACATGAGCAGATGAGGTGAGACAAATAAAGACTTTGTAAGGAAGAGGAGACAATGCAAGATTCCATTAAACATGGTAAAAAAAATTCAGTTAAACTTAAGAAGAGACACAAGAAAACATCAGTCGACATGCAGAAGTAGAAGGAGACACTGTAAGATATCAGACATAAGCAATAGACACATTAACACATCAGAAGATATATGAGGAAACAATAGTAAGGTTAAGACAAGGGGAAATAAAAATAGACAAGACAACATAACAGTAGACAAAGTATAACAGGTAAAAAGTATACAAATAATTCATTAGGAGACATTAGATGAGAAAACAAAATAAGACATTAGATGAGAAGACAAAGTAAGACATTAGATGAGAAGACAAAGTAAGACAAAATAAGACATTGGAAGATCTTAGATGAGGAGACAAAATAAGACAGAAGATCTTAGACAAGAAAACAAAATAAGACATTATATGATGTTATATGAGAAGACAAAATAAGACATTAGAAGAGAATGGACAAGAAAAAATAAGACTTGGAGATAACAGATAAGAAAACAAATTAAGACTAGATGATATTAGATGAGAAAACAAAATAAGATATTAGAAGACTTTAGATGAAAAGACACACAATAAAAACACAAGATATTAGATAGAAAGACAAAAGACATTAGAAGATATAAGAGAAGAAGAAAGATAAGACAACAGAGGACAGAAAAAAATGCAAAAGGAAATGAAATTATTTGGATAACACTGCTGATGATAAATAATAAATGACACAAAAATTAAGAAACATAAAATCCTCTTAAAAATGTACGCATGCCTAAACAAACAACATAATGAACAAACTATACCAGCGGGGCAAATCGTAATTATAACATTCCTAAATAAATGAACAGCAAACATATAATAATTATAACTTGTAAACATACATTACAATATAACCACTGAAACTTATGTACATAAATAGCAGATACAAACAATGACTGCAGAAAATGTGTATAAATATTTTACTGTGGGGGGGAAGAATAACAGTCAATGCTGCATGCTAGTGAAAGAATAAAACACTGCTGTAGATACCTTTCTTCTCTCCTTGTTTCACTGTGAGTGCATCGTGGGAATGGAAAGATATTTTAATATATAAAACAGATCAAACCAATCATGTCACTGATTCTCATTTCAGTTAATATAAGGTTTCTGTTAAACATATTACATTCAAAATCATCACAACTGGTAGATCCCATCTTGAATTACTATCAAAGCATATCAAACCAAACAAAAAGAAGAGCTGGTCAGTTTGACATTATTACAAACACAAATGACAAATGAATACTGAGGCTAAAGAGTCTTCATCAGCACATTACATAAATCTATAATCCCACAAATATGACCACAAATACCCTTTAAAATCACTTAGCTGATGTATCTCCAACAAAAATCACATTACTGTCTTGCTAGTAGAATATATAACGCAAGAGTGCAACCAGATATAAATATGGCCAGAAAAAAAAAAACTGCAAACAACAAGGGCGGTAACTCAAAGATATTAGATAAAATCTTTGTTGGGTGAATATTTCCTATGAGATGGATAAGGTGGTACTCAAAGATATACAGACTCTGTCATAGCAGTGGCTAGATATGATGGCTGTAACCTCACCTTGAATTAGATTCCATTATTTGAGAATCCATATTTATAGTATGATTGCAGTATAATTCTGAAATGGCCATTCTTCAACAAGCTTTAACTATGTTTCTGTTTTTATAAACGCCCCATTTAATGTGGGATGCAATTGTTTGTTTTAAAGCCCCACCCTGGCTGTTTTGGGAACCCTAACTATAACCTTTGGGTTGAACGGGGTTCTGAGACTTGTGCCCGGGTGATCTAAATCTAAATGGTAGCACTTTGTGTCACCTGGTGTTTATTGCTTGCCATATGGTCTTGGTGGGTTCGGACATCATTCAGTCTGTTATTATCCTAACACTTCTAACCCCTTCAGTACGGGTTAGCATCCAATTAGTGAGCATCATAACAGCATTTTGGCTATCACACTCACTTGCCTGCTAACCTGGTGGTCTTGAGTTTAAGTCTTCTGTGAGATGGGAATTTTAATTTTTTAATTTTTTTATGAAGTACATGATTCCAGGATTCTCAAAGCTGTGTTATATCTGAATAATTGACCAAATTTAGCAAATTTGACTAAATTTTGAGCCTAGAACTAAAACTTTAATGATATTATAAATGTCAATAATTTGAAAAAGTGATTTTTACAACTAAGGAACACTGAAATCAAAATATATGATATAGTTTTAAATATAAGGATGTATATGGTATATCTGTTTATAAAATATGAAATATTTATTAGTAGCAACAAGAAAATAAGAAGACATAACTTTTTCTTTTTAACATTTACTGATACTTGTGAAATATTTAGCTTTATAAATTGTTACCGATTTTTAAAAAAATCTAAACAGAAATAGTTTACTTTCTCACCATTTAAGTCATCCTCCGACTCGTTTAAACTACTGATAGAGTGGACGTCTGCAAACTGGCTAGGACTTTTGAGAACAGTATGACTGAATGCCGGGGAAGAATGAGGAGAGTGCATGCCTGGCATCTGTTTGGCCATCTTGTCATTCTGTTTTTTGTCACCTGCATGCCAAATGACATAATTAATATGTATTTATGTATCATTAATATGTATTTATGTATCATTAATATGTATTTATGTATCATTAATATGTATTTATGTATCATTAATATGTATTTATGTATCATTATTATGTATTCTTAATATACCAAATGTATGGACAGTCAACATTTTTGTGTGTGGGTGTCATGTTATGAGCAGAAGGAAACTGGAACATGTGACCACTGGAAAGATTGGTGGAATAAGAGACAGAGGAAGACAACGTGGAATGATTCTTGACAGCCGTTTGTATGGTATGGAGGGGTGTCAGCACAAACTGATACGATGTTGAAGATCATATTGTGGGCAGGCATGATCGCAAAGACACTTGATGATGAAAGGTTAGTGACAGCTAGGCAGACCCAAGATGTCAGAAACACAGGTTGCTTGAGTGAGTAAATAGTGTGGGTTGACAAAACAGCATAAAAGATGACTAAATGTTAAACTTATCTAGAAGACAAATGTTGGTGGATGAATATGAAAGACTGTGCCACTTGGCATGGCATAGAAATATTATACTTGCTGGAACAGTCATAAAAACAAAGAAGAAAGGAGAAGACAACAGATAATAAGAAATAATAAGGAAAAAGGAAAGACTGGAGAGTTCCTGCATTACACAGGATGACAGAGAAATGGAAGTTACGTCGACCTCGTAAAATCATGCTACACTGAGGTTGATAGCCTTGCCATCGTCAGTCAGCAGGTCTTTCACAGGATGTACCTCTCTTCATGGCAGACCTGAAAGTCTCTTTTTCCTCTAGCTAATCCTCCAGCCCTATGTGCCTTCATAGCCAATGTATCTTCAATATCTTATGTTCACCTTCATGCAGGTCAGTTTCTGGCCAGTTTTCTGCTTTTTTTTTTAATGATGCTTTCCGTTACATTTAGCAAGGCCAAAATATCTCGGCTTGTGGGACAGGATTCTGTTTACAAGACAATTCTCCTGGATGTTCAGATCATGAAGTATATGGATGTTTTAATTTTCATCAGTTCATGGTATTCTAAGAACTGTTCTTAGATGCTTAATGTTAATAATTTTACTGCATGATCAGTGATGATCATATTACCAATTGATATAACATGTTAGTACTGTCTGAGGTTAAAGCTGAGTGTAGTTACAGGTCAGGGTGTTTAGGATGCCAAATATTGAGTAATAAAATATTGCTAGGTGACTGAGTTTGGCCAGTTCTTATGTTGGATGTTGCTATCAATCACTGACTTATTCTTGATGTTTTCAAGTGGTGGGTTGGTTCCATTGTATTTGATTGGTGGCTTCCGGTCCAATATGGCTGACAGCTGCTGATGCTCTAAGAAGTTATCTGTTTCTAGCTGTGGTTTGCTGATACAAATTCCCCATTTCTGGACAGGGAGTCCAAGAATTAGTCACCCAGCTACTGAGTTGAGTGCTTGGTGTGACACTGTGAGCTGTAGTTTTCATGTGGATTTTTTTCTTTTTCTGTCAACTGTGCTAGAAATGGGTGTGGCCACTTTCATTCAGAATAATGTAATCTTGTGTGATGCTGGCTTTCATAACTTGCTTGCACTGACAGTGAGCTGCAATTCTCATAGGAGACTGTTAGTACTGGCACATCTGACAGCTACCTTTTGCATTTACTTTGTGTGTGCAAGCATCAAGAGTTTGGTATGTTAATCACTAGTTTTCAAATAGCACAGTGAATGACATTTTGTGAATAATTTCCACCGGCATAGGAACAAATATTCACTTCTCCAATGACTTGATAATCAATTGGTTTCTACAAATATACTTGTTATATTGTTCTCATATAGGCTGAATAATTATTTATTTTCTACATTATATGCCTTTCATATACTTCTCTATTGTGACTTTAGTAATCAATTATTTTCTACAAATTATACTCTTTATATAGTTCTCAGGTAGAATAATGAATATTTTCAAGAAAATATACCTGCTATATAGTTCTGTTTTTAGAATAATTAACTACCTCAGAATAAATATACCTTCTGTACAGTTCTTATTTTCCATACAGTTCTCAGGTAAATAGAATAATTAACTACCTCCTCACAAACATACCTTCCATATAGTTCTCCAGTATGTTTGGGTAATCAAACTCCCATGGTGCTTTCTGTATGGAATCTGACTCGGATGCCGTTCTTGACCCTGGAGGAGGAGGTGTTGCCCTTAGCAACGGGTGTGTGTTATTGGCCTGGTACAGGTTCTGATAAGACTCCAGGTACTGGTAAAAGTCTGGAATGTGACCCCGGAGACCTAAGATGGTACACAGGAATCATTGTGAAACAAAACATCTTACAGAGCATAAAGAAGTGACAGTGACTCCAATCTGTGATTCTTAAAAGTAGAATTAAGGGCTTGGTGTTAACTCTTGCGGTCCCAAACAACGCCTGGTATGTGAGTGGCTCTATCCCAAGATCCCCACCCCCAAACCACTACATGTTGTAATAATGTACTCTCTTAATTTTTACACTTTAGTCAAATATAGCTTCCCCCACAAGGTTTATATTGTGACAGAAAGTAATGCATTCATTATTTTTCACCATGTTTATTTCTCTACTTTGGCATCTTTGTATGAAACCCTGTTGTATGAAAAAGTTGTATTGCAAAGAAATAAAACAAATAATCAAACAGAGGTTCCAGAGAAACCGAGACACACACACACACACACATAAAAGCTGTTAAAGGAAAATTCACCAACACCCCCCCCCCCCCCCCCCCCACCAACAAAGACAATGGTTCTATAGGAGAATGGTTAGATACTGATTTAGTTGAAAATGGGTCGTCCGTGGCTAAGGCGTTGCGAGTCTGACTCGTAATGCAACGTACTGCAATCGAAACCTGCGTGGGCTGCGTGGATTTTTATCATGGTATGGGACGTCGCAGGTCGACCCAGCCTCAAATGGGTACCAGGATGGGCTGTCCCGGGAAAGTAAAGATGGCCTGCGTAATGCTGACCACATTACCCACCAAGTGCCGATTGGTCTGTAAAAATATGGGTGCTCTTCCCATATGCCCGATGCGCCTAAGGGCGTGTAAAGGGATCTTAACTTTTTTTTTCTTTATTTTTTAGTTGAAAATAATAGTGCTAGGCAGACAGTGGAGAGATAAAATCAACAATAAAGCCATAGTGAAAATACCCAAAAAAACATGACTATTTACAAAAATGTTCAAATGGTGACAATTAAAAACTCAGGCCAACCACTGGTATCAACAGATTTGGCACAGCGAGAAGAGAAGTGAAGAGAGAACCACTAAACAGGCACTTCAATGGGTAGAGATGGATTGAGAAAATGAGAACGTCTACACACACATACAAACAGGTTATTAGACGAACCTTTACGAGTGTTGGACTGGATTCTATCTATGATACTGAAAGAATTGCACAGGATATCATCGAACTGAGGATTAATTTCGTACTAGTATCATTGGTTATTAGACAATCAGGGTGGTAATATACTGGGCACAGTGAGAGAAGAAGAAAACAGGGAATCCCCAGACAGACACTTCATTGGGAATGATGGATTGAGAAAATGAGGAGGTCCAAAAGAAACCACAAGCACTGATGAGAGAGACCTAATGTCTTGGACTGGATTCCATGTTCTGTTTGTTTTAGTATCCAGAAGCCATGAGTTGTTAACCCTTAGGCTCGGTATTATGGATATCGCAACCTTTCGGCATTGATTCCATTATAAATACTGTAAATCTGGGAGAAATGTGGCTTTTCTGCCTACTCCCGGGAATGAACCGGACTACAAGGAGTTCGTCACCCAGTCACCATGTAATCCGGTTTAGCCAACTACACTAGAGAGCCAGGCGACTGGATTCCATATGTGATAATAGAAAGATCTGAAGAGGAATACTGTGACAACAGGACAGAAGCAGGTAAAGCAAGACAAGGAGAGATGTAAAAGTAAATAGTAGAGATATGGGAATCAAATGGTAAATGGCATTTAAATTACAAATACTACATGAACATGACATTTACAATTATTAAAAATTAAACAGCAATTAAAAGAGGAAGAAAACACTGGTGAAGATGAATTGTGTAGGCTTAGACAAATGTTTATACAACAAACTACCAGAGACAGCAAATTTCAATAAAATGATTTTTATAAACTGGTTATCCGTTAAGTATATCAATCAAAATAATGTGAAGAATAAGAAAACAAAATTGCAAGTACAGGAAGCTAGTGAATGTAAAAATGTGCAACTATTATTTCTGGATATGAACAGTCAAAAATGGGCCCTGGAATCCATCCAGGGATGTTACAGTTTGACATGGATAGATACATTTACAAACTTGAAAAACAAAAATGGTGCTACCTCCCTAAAGGAGGTTGGCTGAAATATATCCACAGCTAACTATAGGAAAATTATGTGGTGAGGACTCAATCTCTACCACAGTGCAACTCTCGTACCACTGTGTGAAAGCCATGAGAGTGACATTTTTCTAAACAAGCCACTATGAGAATCAAAACCTTAGTAAACACTGAATATTGCATTGTGAAATGATTCCACTAACCTCTAACTTATCCTGTTATTTTCTGAGAAAGTGGATGTAGTGAAGTCTGTCTGGGATCAGACAGACAGTCCAACAAAACAGACAGAGAATCCAAACATTGAAAGACTAATTCAACAAGAAGTAAGTAGACATTGTGGAAGATATTCAACACTGAGGATGAGGTACAGGCTGACTTTCAATCAGGTTGCACCTGATACTATTAGCATGTTGACTCTTCAGTGGCTAATGAGGAAGGAAACTGAGCATGTGTGGGAATGTCCCAAGTGCAGTGGCGTCAATTCATGCTTCATTCATTCTGTTACTTTTTCTAAAACTACCCCAACCCCTTTTCCCTCATAATGGAGGAAAAGAGCCAGACATTCTGGAATCTTTTTGTCTTTCCAGATGATAGGGAACTCCTTGCTTTCTGCTGAAGACGAGGGTGGAGCACTTATGACAGTGTCCTGAGTGCTGTGATGCTGATTCTCAATTCAACAGACAATAGATTTATATTATGCCAGGAGGAGGCATGGGACTCACAGCCCAAGGCGATGGCAAGTGTGGTTAACAAGACCTAAACATGTTAAGAAAAGTCTTCCATAATTATAAAATAGAATTAACAAGAATGGTAAAGATAAAATGTCAGAAATATAAAGATAAATAACCTGTGTTTTCCAGTTCTTCTGCTGCACTGCCATAGTTGCCTATACTATCCAAATTATTGAGCATGTTCAGAGAATCATGGGTGCTTGGGGTGTAAGATGCTGGTCGTGTTGGTACTGGAGGTGGCTGCGATGGAGGCTGGCAAGGGATAATCTCCACAGGTATAGAAAGGTCCGGGTTGCTCAGCTTACATCGTTTGCTGAGCAGGCCTTCACTGCCACTGTCTGGTAAACCTACAGCCATCGAGTGCATCTGTCGTTCTCGCTTCCGTCTTCGCCACACCAGAAACACAATAACCACAACAACAACAATTACCAGGATAACTACTGTTGCTGTTGGTGAAGAGAACAAGAAATCACAAAAACTGAGAACATTTTTATTATCTGCACTGGACTGTATGTGTGTGGGTGGGTGTGCATGTGCATATGTTTGTTTATATCCTTATTCTTTTTAACTGCAGATTATACCTGGCTAATGTAGCTCTTCTTTGGGGAAGATAACAAGAAATCACAAAAAACCATGTCCAACATTTTCACTGGACTTGTGTGTGTGTGTGGGGGGGGGGGGTGTTAGGGGTGGGTGTGTGTGTATGTGCATATGTCTGTTTATGTTCTTACCCACACAGGACTGCAGGTGACACCTGGCTGATGTACCCGTTATGGGTGTGCCCTAATTACAGCTTCTTGGTGAAGCAAACAAGAAATCAGAAAAGTGTAAAAACCATAGTGCATCTCGGGCAGTATTTCAACCCTGGCGGAGCCCACTCCTCTCCAGGTGGTAATTTTCTTATTAGCCTATATCCTCACGGATGCAGAGAAGTAGACCAAGAAAGACCTGGTTAAAGAACCTGACTGACTGGACAGGCCTCAGGCATGCAACTATGAAGTCCATCGCAACTGACAGCTAAAGGTGGAGAGAGCAGATCAGACAGTCAACAGAAACTGGTGAGCCAACGACATGCAGTGTTACAGGATGTACACCAGCATGTTCACCAGCATGTACACCAGCATGTACACCAGCATATACACCAGCATGTTCACCAGTAGTTAACTCCAGTCGATAGTTCTGGTTTTTCTTCCACTTCTGGAAATTGGCCTTGTTCTAGAGCTTGAATTTTGTATGTACATCAATTTTAAATGTCTGCTCATCTGTATGCAGACTGTTAGTTCCTCACCTCTTCGGCAGATCTACTCCAACTCTAGAGACAAAATCCCTAGTTAGTCACATTTTGCAACAAGCTTGATCAGAAGCAGTGGATCTACTCTCCCCCTTTTTTTAAACAGCTAACTTTAGACATATAGAGCAGCGGTTCTCAAACTGGGTGCCAGGGGTGCCGCAGCAATAATCAAGATCAGTAGAGAAAGCAGTTTAAAACAGTAATACAGTGAAGGAAGCCAAGAAGAGTTCTTGTTGCAGGTGTATTCAGAAAACAATGCTAATGTCAAGGCTGCAGAACATTCTCAATGTTCGCTTTAAAAAAAAAAGATACAGGAGCAAACTTTCTGGGTCAAGTGATTTGAGCATAAAATTAACTTAACTTCCCATATACATAAAAGAAATAATGAAAAGTTCATCCAACGGTTTTATTCATCGCATTAAAGACAATTAAACATTAAATTTGCAACTTTTTTTGGGCTTGTTTTCTTAAGTACTCTAACCATTTTAAGTGTTAATGTGGCGATAAAAAAATTTTTTGCCTGGCAAGTGTACTGCGGCAAAACAAACAGTTTGAGAACCGCTGTTGTAGAGAATCTATTTACAATGACAATCTTATTCAAAATAAGAAATTATAATTATAAACATAAGTGAACAGCCACAGGTGATAAGCAAATTAAATATAATATATTGCAGTGTTGGTGAGAAGTATTTTGAAGCTTGCATGTAGAATAGTCATGATTTCACAACTTATACAATTGCAGTGAGAGCAAGAGTGTTTAAGTGCTATGTAGAACCTGTGATGTGTTACGCATGTGAGACATAGACAACAAGCAGAAAAGCTTAAAAACATTTGCTCATGGCAGAGATGTGGTTTTGGAGAAGATTACAAAGAATATCAGGGAGTGATAGACAAACGAGGAGCGGCTGGCCGAAGAGGAGTGGTTGCCTCAACAGTTAGAAGGTTGGGCTCGCAAGCAAGAGACCCGGGTTTGAATCCTCAATAAGGCTGGGGATTTTTCTCCCGGGGGCAAAATAAAATCCTAACCTGCAGAGTCGTGGCTACAGCACTTGCCATGCGGCCTTAACTTCACAGGCTCAAAGCCCCCACTGCCTACACTGCAAAAGTGGTATAATAAAGACAAACAAAAAAGTAGCTCTCATCAAAACAGATGAAAGTGCTAAACTAAACTGGTCAGAGCAATCAGATGTAGAATTTTTTTTTTTTTTTTTTCAGAAATGTTACGAGAAGGGATGGACTCATAATCTTGGTAACAACTGGCAACACTGATGGAAGTGGAGCAAAATGAATGCAGTTAGATAAAATATCTGGATAGCTTGGCCACACGGATGGGGTGTGACAAGAACACTGGCCTGATCTGTGATTCTGGTGATCATGTGATATGGTGGAACATGACTGTCTATGCTTACCAGTATGGCAAATGATGATGAGAAAAAGATAATACAGAATTCCAAGAGCAGGTACTTACATATAAAATGACAAAATAATAAATAAATAACTGGTACATGTGAGGTGGTACTAACCTATGACCCCATGAAACATACTAGATGCTGATGATGTGACACTGTCGGGGACTAGTGCCAGCAGCTCACAGTTTCTGCCTGTGTACTCGGCTGTGCAGTTACAGCTGTATGATCCACCACCCATGTTGTGGCAAGTGGAACCATGCAGACAAGGAGCAGAGAGGCATCGGTCAGATACTCGCTCACAGTATAGGCCTAATAAAATATATAAGACACAACAATTAAAAAAAAAAAAGAACAAAATATATAAATAACATTCTGCTTATCTAGTTAGTTAATCAACTAATCATCTCTATTGCACAGTGGACAACTCCATAAGCGCTTGGACCCCATCTTCAGTATAACCCCTAGTATGTGGCGACCGATAACACCAGTTCGAGTTGAGCCGAGTCAATTCAACAAACGACATCACAGCACTCAGGGCATTCCCACAAGCACTCTGTCCCCATTTTCAGCAGCCAGTGCAGAGTTCCAATAGTAATGGTTCCAGCAGCATTCTGATTAACTGTCCGTCCAGCCTTTCCTCTGAGCCTTGAGCATCTGCCAGAACCTCTCATCACTCCCCCCTGCATTAATCTCACCAGACTGCCGGGATCCATCTGCTCCTCTAAACTGTACACGCTCTCCCACAAGGCACTAACCATGTCTGCCTTATCATGTATCAGTATTCCACCAAGCTGTGCAGAGCCAGCCAGTCTGTCCACCTGTTCATTTTTCAACACACCAGCGTCTCCCAGAGAAAAAAATCCAGACAATACTCCTCAGCCGTGTCCTCCCCAGTAAAGCATGCCACTCTGCATGAAGCATACCTGTGCGTGTGTCGTGTTCTCTAGCCAGCAGAAAGCTGCAGTGACCGCCTCCACCTCTATTCTCAAACTGGATGTTGTGGTATCATATGCTCGGCTCTCCTGCACCAAACAACGTCCATTGACTTTTTCTAAGAAGCCCCAAGCACTTCTTTTGCCTCTTGACACTGAACCGTCTGTGTAAATAATCAAATCCTCTGAGCGAGCATTATCTTGAATTAATTGCTGAATTTCCACCTCCATGGCACCTGCTGACCAGTCTCTGCATTCCCGGCTCAGCGTGATTATGACCCTACACAAGTCTGACTGTTGAGGTAGTACTCTGACCCACTCCTCTCCTTGCCTAATGTTCTCAAAGATGCAAACCTGTCTGATTGTGTCTTCTGCCTGAGCCATCCATGACTTCCCTCTTAGCAGCCACTGACCCTTAACTGCACCCAGAGCTTTGTGCAAAGGATGATCTTTGTCTGCAGCTACCTAGAGATATGACTTCGCCTGCAGCTTACCTGCAACTGTTGGCAAACCAAGGATGTACCGCATACACACCACTGGGTTGTCTCTGGTGCAACCCAGAATGACCCACATAGCTGCATTCTGTATGCGCTGTAGGTTGTCCATCTGACTCTTTGAGACTGTAAGTAGTCCCAGGCCATAATCCACCACTGACAGGATCATGTGCTGATATAGTATGAAAAGCATTCTCTTCTATATTTTGATTGCAGTCATAGTCTTAAGTGCACCGAGTCCATTTTAGCATCTTGTCACAACACTCTCCACATAGTCTTTAAAAGACAGGCTTCAGTTTTGTGTTGGTTTACTATTCTTCTGTGGCTACCGGTGTAATTTTCATGTCTGGTAACAGCTCTTTTTGCATGAAGTTCTTGAGGTCTTGTCAAGCTTGCCATTGACCTTCCTGTCCTGAATCACCTAATTCTCCTGCCTCCTTGAGAACATCAGCCACATTCATTTCTTTTCCTGTGCCTACCTTGGTGCTGCCAGCAAGCCAATCCACTCATTCATTCCCTCCCACTCCAGAGTGTTTGGCACAAAAAATGTAACTGATTCTTTTTAGATGAGATTTCATCAGCATGCAACCACTGTCTTTAAACCCATATTGTCTTGATCTTCATAAGCATATTTAATCAATCAGTTAGAAAGCACAAACTGCTCAACTAACACTTCTCTATACTTTTTAAGTAACATGCCAATTGGCAGAGATTTGAATTAAAAAAAAAAGTAAACATAGGTTGTCAGCATCTCACATTGTAACTTAATCTCACTGTGATACCCTCAAGTATTCTCTCTCTATCCTGATGTCTTACACTTCCTCTGTCACTCTTTCACACTCTCTCTCACCCCCTACTCTATCTTATTCTTACCCTCTTTGTGTCTTTTACTCCTCTCTTTCTTACTCTTGATCTCTCACTTCCTCCAATTGACTGACTGACTGACTTTCTACCCCACCAGGACATCACACAAGCGATAAACACCTGATGACACAAAGTGCCACCATGCGGATGAGGATCACCGTGGAGAGGTCCCAGAAACCGCGTTCAGACATTTGGCCATAATGATGACCTTCCTATATTGCGGCCCCTGGCAAAAGCCAGAGTGGGGCTTCAAATAACAAAAAATAACGTCCTAAGAAGGACGTAAGAAGTTTATTCCTCCAATTTCCCTTTCTTTAAATTTAAAGTATACAGTATTTTCTATTAACTTGCAATCTCAAAGCCAGCATACAGAAACATCTGCCAAAAAAAAAAAAACTTAGTTACATCTACATTAACCCTCTGGAGACGTAGCGGCCGAAATATCGGCCCAACACAAAGTAGGCAAAATGAGGACTGGGCAGATCGGTCGACCCTATGTAATACAAGTCTTAAAGTTGGCTGGCAGGTTTTCATACCAGCCAATCAGATTACTTCTCACATTTATTGCACATGTGGGATGTTCACTGACCTCTTTCAAGAAAGTATGATGTGTTTGGTAATTTTACATCAATTTTTTTCTGTGGTTCCTGTGTACAACAGTAGCAAAAAGGACTGTTGTGTCATAGCAATCGAAACACAGCTGGAGGCAGGAAAATGAGTAGAACCATGTGCCAGACATGTCTGAAGGGTATCCAAGAGCCTTACTTCCCAAACCACAAGTGTTAGGACTTATTCAAGCTTGTTAGGGAAAACAAGAATAGACCCACTATAAAAGCATGTCGTAAGAGCGGACTTATTGGGAGCTTCCTTTGAAGTCAGAGTGCATCTGCCTGAGAGGCAAGGAACCAGCAGTCTGCATACAAATGAGTCAGATCTGTAAAATGGATGCACACGCAACACTCAGGTTCTGGAACAGGACTGCAGTCCAGAAATGGACGAACAACCAGAACTTTCCGCCAGAGTTTACAGCTGGTGAAAGCGAAGAAGAAGAAGAATAGTTAATTTGAAAAATGTTGAGATTTCAGTCTGACTCATAAATATTCTTTTAGCTCATTAAATTTCCTAAACGAATATATATAGTTTTGTATATGCTAATTAATCGCTCTTTAAAAAAAAAAATTTTTTGTATAAACTATGAGAATCCCCTTCTGAAGGCTAAGTTTTTTTGGCACGGAAACTCCAAAAAGGCTCCGTCTCCAGAGCGTTAAGTTACCTATTTATCCTCACTCGCATACCTATCCACTCGCCTAAAATTCATTCACTCATACATCATCCTACATACACCTTCCCAAATACTCACTCACCCATACACCATCCTCCATACACCCTCACACTCACAGACCCTCTCAATCCTCCCAAATACTCCCTCACTCATTCATACGCTCTACCATTCACACACTCTGACATGGCATCCCTGAGACCTACCTTGGTATCCTGTTGCACAATCACACAGTGGAGCTGTAGGACCTTCCACACATGTCCCACCCTGCTTGCAGGGGTTGGGCCGACAAAATTTCCCATATGTACACCTGATTCCGGCCAAGTGATTCTTGCACTGACACACAACACTGTTTGGTACCTCCAGGTCCACTTCACACTGACCTAGTTAAACAACAGTAGAAAATGTCACTGATCCTGTTAGAAAAAACTGACCTAGTTAAACAACAGTAGAAAATGTCACTAATACCTTTAGATAAAATCAACATACTTAAACAACAGTAGAAAATGTCACTAATCCTGTTAGACAAAACTGACCTACTTAAACAACAGTAGAAAATGACGCTAATCCTGTTAGACAAAATTGACCTAGTTAAACAACAGTAGAAAATGCCACTCATCCTGTTAGATAAAATTGACCTAGTTAAACAGTAGAAAATGACGCTAATCCTGTTAGACAAAACTGACCTAGTTAAACAACAGTAGGAAATGTCACTCATCCTGTTAGATAAAGTTGACCTAGTTAAACAACAGTAGAAAATGTCACTAATCCTGTTAGACAAAACTGACCTAGTTAAACAACAGTAGAAAATGACGCTAATCCTGTTAGACAAAATTGACCTAGTTAAACAACACCAGAAAATAACGCTAATCCTGTTAGACAAAATTGACCTAGTTAAACAACAGTAGAAAATGTCATTGATGCTGTTAGACAAAATTGACCTAGTTAAACAACAGTAGAAAATGTCACTGATCCTGTTAGACAAAATTGACCTAGTTAAACAACAGTAGAAAATGTCACTAATACCTTTAGATAAAATCAACATACTTAAACAACAGTAGAAAATGTCACTAATCCTGTTAGACAAAACTGACCTACTTAAACAACAGTAGAAAATGACACTAATCGTGATAGACAAAATTGACCTTGTTAAACAACAGTAGAAAATGCCACTCATCCTGTTAGATAAAATTGACCTAGTTAAACAGTAGAAAATGATGCTAATCCTGTTAGACAAAACTGGCCTAGTTAAACAACAGTAGGAAATGTCACTCATCCTGTTAGATAAAGTTGACCTAGTTAAACAACAGTAGAAAATGTCACTAATCCTGTTAGACAAAACTGACCTAGTTAAACAACAGTAGAAAATGACGCTAATCCTGTGAGATAAAATTGACCTAGTTAAACAACACTAGAAAATGTCATTGATGCTGTTAGACAAAATTGACCTAGTTAAACAACAGTAGAAAATGTGACTCATCCTGTAAGAAAAAATCAACATACACAACAGTAGAAAATGTCACTGATCCTGATAGACAAAATCGACCTAGTTAAACAACAGTAGAAAATGTCACTGATCCTGTTAGATAAAATCAACATACTTAAACAACAGTAGAAAATGCCACACATCCTGTTAGATAAAATCAACATACTTAAACAACAGTAGAAAATGTCACTGATCCTGTTAGATAAAACAAACATACTTAAACAACAGTAGAAAATGCCACACATCCTGTTAGATAAAACAAACATACTTAAACAACAGTAGAAAATGTCACTGATCCTGTTAGATAAAACAAACATACTTAAACAACAGTAGAAAATGTCACTGATCCTGTTAGATAAAATCAAATTAAACTGATGATGGTCGTCATCAATCAGATGGTCCTTTACAGAATGCTGCTCTCGTCACGGCGCAACTGAAAGTCTCCCTTCCTCTAGCCAATTATCCAGCCCTATGTGCTTTCATAGCCAATGCATTTTTAATGTCTAGCATCCACCTTCAAGGATGTCTGCTTCTCACTCGTTTTCCAGAATCTGTGCCCTCCATCATCGTTCTCTCCAGGCCACCATGATATTTAACACGGCCAAAATACTTCAGCTTTTTGTTAAACAACATCCAAATAATTTAAACGAAAGCACAAGTTTTCAGCAATACTTCCCTATCATCACATAAATCTGATCTAGGACATTGTAGGAACTGATAAACTTACTTCCATTGCTACAGGGTTGGCTGCGACACGGTTCAGGGTCGAGCTCACAGTTGGACCCCTTGTAACTGGCCGGACACAGACACAAATAAGAGCTGGCCCCAGAGACCTGGCAGCGACCACCATTCAGGCATGGGCTGCTGCTACAGGCATCTGAGAACACGAGTTTGATTCATACGTATCAGAGAAGGTTCAGTTTAAAAAAAAATTTTGAATTAAGAATCAACATCAAGGACTCTAGACATTCCCATAAGCGCTCCATCCTCATCTTCAGCTGTAACCACAGAGTATTAAATCTGATGGTACCAGTAACTGTTTGATTGTATATCCGTCTAAACCTTTCCTTGAATGTTGAGCGTTGGCTAAATCCCCTGGTCACGCCTTGGAGCACCATTCTCGTCAGACAATGATGATGATGATCTGTTTGTGCCTTTACACTATTCTCTCACTCTCAAAGAACCTTCAGAACACCTAACATGTCATGAGTCAATTCACATTGGTGCTGAACCGGCCAGGCTATCTGCCTGTTCATTTCTCAATACTCTGGCAAGACCTAGGGAAATTATCTAAAGAATGCTAACTACCTGGGACTTCTGAAGCAATGCTTGCCCCTCTGCATGAAGCATACTTGTCATCACCTTTCTCAACCTACTCTGTCAGCTGTTCAGTCTTCTTCTTCTCCTTCTTTTTCACTTCCTCTTTCACCGCTGTGGGTGTCGAGGGAGATATAAGGTTCTGTTTCTAGCTCTTCTGGCCGCCTCGACCATAGGCACATCGTGATGTTGTAGAGCTTCTCTGATGTTATCCGTCCATCTTGTTCTTGGTCTACCTCTTGCTCTACGACCTTCTTCTCTTTCCATGTAAGCTTTGATTGGTATGGTGTCACAAGGCATTCTCTCTAAGTGGGCAAACCATTTCACTTGCTGTCTTTGTATGTTTTTTAGAATTGGTTCTGTGCCGACTTTTTTCTTATGATCTCATTCCTGATCTTATCTCTTATGGTCACTCCTACAGCCCTTCTCAGACATCTCATTTCCATGGTTATTAATTTTCTTTTATGGTTTGTTGTGAGTGACCATGTCTGGCACTGGTAGCACAGAGTTGGAATAAATATGCTTTAAATAAGATGTCTCTTTGTGCTGATTGGGATTGTCTTATGCTGTAAGAGGGGGGCTAGCTGTCCCAATACTTGGTTTGCTTTACTGCATCTAATGCTTTTCAGTCAAAAACAAAAAATGGTTAAACTAATGGAATTCACTGAGAAATTCGATTTAAAATATACTTTCTGAATATGTGCCAACATAAGTGTTTAATGGAAGATGTTCAGCAAAGAGAAATATCATATGTGTTGCTTTTCCTTGCTCATATACCGAAGAGATGTCTACTGTCAATGGTGTCACAGTGTAAAACAATTCACAATGTGTTATTCTTATCTTCTCTCACGACTTTACTTCACTACCTGAATTATAGTATAGTGAGGTGTGATGGTGTAGTGGCTAGACATTCGCCTGAGGATTGGAAGGTCATGGGACTGACCCAACCTTGAGTGGTACCAGGAAAAGTCCTAGGAAGTGAAGCTGACCACATGATGTTGACAACATCCCTCACTGAGTGCTGGTTGGTCTATCAAATATCAGTAAATAAAAATATAAATATGCCAAAGTAAATAAAATATAAATATGCCAAAGTAAATAAAATATAAATATGCCAAAGTAAATAAAATATAAATATGCCAAAGTAAATAAAATATAAATATGCCAAAGTAAATAAAATATAAATATGCCAAAGTAAATAAAATATAAATATGCCAAAGTAAATAAAATATAAATATGCCAAAGTAAATAAAATATAAATATGCCAAAGTAAATAAAATATAAATATGCCAAACAAGCACAAAAGAATTGAAGAGTGTCCTTTATTTTACTTTCTGTAGTATAGTATGGTATGGTATAGTATGGTATGGTATAGTATGGTATGGTATAGTATAGTATGGTATGGTATGGTATGGTATGGTATGGTATGGTATGGTATGGTATGGTATGGTATACATTGTAAGTATTGTTTAGTATTGTAATGTATCATTTTTCCATTGTGGGTAAATTTTCTCACTATCTGGAAATAAATACAACTACTAAACATAAATTATGTGTGAGAATCTGGATGGATGGCGTCGATTACTAATTATAATGTATGCGGGAATATATATTGGAGGCAACCATGCAGTTTGGCTAAAGTGTGCCAGATGAGAAAAGTGAGAAATGGTGAGTGGAACTTTTGAGTGCATAAAAAGTAGAATAATTTATTTAAACTTGGAACAAATAAGAAAGCTCAGTCTTGTTTTCGATCCTGGGAGAGTCTGGTCTTGTGGTTCTAGGAGAGTGTGAACTGAGTGCATCTATGAAGCAAGAGAATTAATGCTCCAGTGCCAACCTTGTTTCCCAAGAAAACCTGGCCATATTGATAGCCTGACATGTCGGAATGGCTGAACATCACCTAAGTGTTTTCCAATGTTTGTTCATATTTTAAATTTGCTATGTTGAGGTATCTGTCAATGTGCCTGGGCAGACAGAATGACTAGAGCCCAAGAGAGTCATTGCAAGTATAGTATAGTATAGACGCGGTCACTGTTCAAATTTCAAGAAGCTGTGTGATGTAGAGTAATTCAACAGCACAGACATGTCCTTACTTCCACTAGGCAGATGTCTGACAGGCAGATCCTGGCAATGGAATTCTACAGCTTCAAACTCCAGAGCCTGGGCCAGTTCATTGCTTCCGGTGAATGGGAGAGGGATGTTGAACACTCGGATGTCTTCCATACATCCCTGAGGAGTAAACACCGTGTCAAATATTTACATACAGAATGTGACAGAAAGTTTTTTGATAGAAAGCTTTATGGCTAACATAAGAATGTGACAAAGAGTTCTAGAAACTGTCAGAATGTAAACTGAAAGAATGCTATAAGGTGTTATTAAATTGGTGAATGTATTCAGACTAACACAGAGAAAAGAATGTTCAAAGTTGTGTTTATAGTGTCAGTTTGTGATTGGCTGTACAAGACTAGTTCTCTATGTGCAGGACAGGGAGAAATTGTAGACCAGTGAAGGAACTTAAAAAAAAAAAAAAAAACAGCAACAAAGCAATGAAATTCACAAAAACAAAAACAACAACATTACAGACAAAGGCAATCTATTTCAAGAAAATAAGAGAAGGAGGAGAAGAAAGAGGGGCAGTAGTAGCAGTAGTAGAAAGAGAATGAGGAGAAGAAGGAGGATGAGGAGAAGAAATTGCTATGCATTTACAATAGAGCTAAAGTACAGTATTTATCTTTTGACCAATGCATGAAACTTCATTTGTTGACAAGATTGGCTTTCCCAAATTTCAAGAAGATTTTTAAACATCAAGAAATGCACAATACTTTCTGACATACTGCTCACCTCAAAGCCATGACTAATATCCCTGTAACCATTGGGGAAAACATCTATCTCAGCACCAAAGAAGATCTCCTCTGAGTCCACATTGAGAATGGCATGGATGCCAGGAACCAAACCTATTGCAGTGTACGCAGAGTCCAGCGACAGCTCTGCCTCTCGACCATGCCGCTCCAGCTGAATCAGGTGCCACTGTCCATCACTCAAGTCAACTGGGATTCGAACTTGACCCTCTCCACTTCCACAGTCGAATTTGTACACTAAACTGCCTTTTTCAATCTATTGATAGTAAAAATGTCATTCTTATGGAGGAAAACATGGAACATAAGCTGTGAATGGGTTATACGTCATTATCATCTTTATAATTAAGTGCCTTGCCAGTTGGCATGGGCTAATTTGCCATTATGTGCCTTGCCAGTTGGCATGGGCTAATTTGCCATTATGTGCCTTGCCAGTTGGCATGGGCTAATTTGCCATTATGTGCCTTGCCAGTTGGCTGAGCTACTTGCCATTATGTGCCTTGCCAGTTGGCTGAGCTACTTGCCATTAAGTGCCTTGCCAGTTGGCATAAGCTAACATGTCCACACCCTGCAATCCTCAAAAGTATCTATCTGTGCGCTTTTTTCCCCATACCATAATGAAAAGCCATCAAGAATCTTCTCCTATTGTCTTCTTCAACATCCATGCTTTTTAAGATGTTTTTCATTACGTATATTGGTAAATGAACTTATATGCATTTATAACATAATGGATTTGTAAGAAGTAAGGGATTGGAAGGGCTTAATGTAATGATCTTGAGTGCCCAATTTCTGAGTCTTTGACAACAAAATTGATCCATTCATTTCTTCTTTTTTCTTTGGTGTCATCTGAGGAGGTAATTGCTTTGTGCCAATTTACAGCAAGGCTGCGATAGTTTGGCTGATTCACCTGACTTCTTCATGAATGTAGTTGCCTGGGCTTTTCCCAGTTATTCCTCCATTTTAAATTGCCACTTCAAAGTTGCAAAATTATGGTGCTGGTGTTGTGCACAACAGTGTTTTTTATTTTAGGTTGCAGAAGGGAAGGGAAGCTCTGCAACACAGATCAAGTGGGGGCGGCACTGTGGTTATTAGGCTGGGAGAAAAGTCTCCATACCAAACTCACTTTGATATATAGAAGTCCATTTTTAAATGCAAACTGAACACACACAAATAAACACAACAGAAATGAAATGCCCATAACAAATCCTAAATGTCACAGAAAAGAGATATAATTTGAAATTACGATATTAGGAAACAAGTATGGAAGCAGTGCTAAACTGCATCAAGAGAAAACAGATCAAATAACTCAGACATGTTTTAAGACTGCCAAAAGATAGTGCACCAAAGTGAGCCCTTTCATTAAAACACAATGACAGCAGAGCCAGAAGCCAACCAGGCAAATGACAGACGGATGGAATATTCAAGGTCCTGAATCTACGCAGTACACCCTAAGACTGGCATCAGATGCTTTTTCAAATCCTGAGAGGTGGACCAACGCTACAGAAAACAAGAAGAAGAAGACAACAAACTGAAGAGATAGAAATCACCATCTTCCAGAGAAATCACCATCTTCTAGAGAAATCACTGACAACCAACTAATCAACTTCAAATGTCTTACCTTTAGAACACTGTAGTCCACTTTTCCTTTGGCATACATGAGAGTGGCTGAGGTCTGCCTGGTTCGAAGCCGGAATCTTAGTGAGAACCTTTTCTTTGTTGAATGATGGAGCTTCCACTTGGCATAACTCTTGCCAGAGAAAGTCACTGGACGCTCTAGAGAAGGATAAAATCAGACACCAGTTTTCTAGAGAAGGATAAACTCAGTCACAAGTTTTCTTCATGTGATAACATTTTTTTTTTAATCTATAAAAATAAACAACAAACAGTGTCAATAGAATCATGATTAGATTCTACAGATTGTACATATTATTCCCCAATAGAGTGTACACCCAAAACTAATTCACAATGAGCCCTTTGTAGAGGTAGGTGTTCATGACAGGCTCAATTCTGCAACTAAATGTTTCTTCAGAATCAATCCCACACAATATATCCTTGGTTGACATTTTGTGACATCATGAAGAGTTGCAGCGATACTATTTGCTGCTTCACATATAGCTTCATAACACACAGTGACGATCAGATTAGCCACTGCAGAGAGGTGTTGAATTTTTGGAACTGTCACTTTACTGTCAAATGTTGTCTTCAAAATGGCGAAAGTCTGGACCACAAATCTTTACTTGGTTTCATAAAAAGTAAAAAGTAAAGATCCCTTTTCACGCCTTTTAGGCGTATCAGGCATATGGAAAGAGAGCGCCCATATTTTTACAGACCATCGGCACTAGGTGGGTAATGTGGTCAGCATTACGCTGCCCATTTTTACTTCCCCAGGACATAAATCCTGTTACCCATTTTAGGCTGGGTCGACCTACGATGCCCCATACCATGATAAAAATCCACACAGCCAGCAGTTGGTTTCGATCGCGGTAGGATGGAATTACAAGTCGGACTCACAGTGCCTAAGTGACGAATGCCGCACTTGGTTTCATCATGTAAATCTAATGTGCTTGGCGTCTTGTTAATTTCTACTACATCAATCACATTAATTTCCACTCGATTACTGTTCATATGTTGCAGAAAGTTTGCAAAAAATGGTTTGCAGTTTTACTTAATGGTTTCAAATTAAACTTCAGGTGAATGGTAACAATCAGGGCTTTTGTCTAGAAAAAGAGGTGCCAGTAGTTATCACAAAGTGCCTATAACCAAATTTTTAAACTGCTGGTACTCACCCCAAAGTTTAATTCAGTAATGCTGAAAACAAATTATGCCTAAAAAAACTTACTGGTGCTGCATACCACCAGAAAAAAAAAAAAAATGGTGCTGCGTACCACCAGAAAAAAAAATACTGGTGCTGCGTACCACCAGAAAAAAAAACATACTGGTGCTGCGTACCACCAGAAAAAAAAAAATACTGGTGCTGCGTACCACCAGAAAAAAAAACATACTGGTGCTGCGTACCACCAGAAAAAAAAAAACATACTGGTGCTGCGTACCACCAGAAAAAAAAACCATAAGCTTAAAATGTCATGCTCTCAGGACACTAGGATTTGAATTCCCTATATATTGATGGATGTTTGTGTTTTCTGTTTTAGGCATCAAAAACAACAAATACTGCAGCAGCAACAACAAAAACAATAAAATCTCAACCTGCACAGTTCCTGGGGGACAGCACTAGTCAGGCAGCCCTAAATCCTCTGGCTCAAGACACTAGTCTCTCTTCCCCCCCCCCCCCCCCCCCCCTTAGACAAGTAGTAAAGATTGGCTGTAAACTTTGGGAATCTGCACAAAAATAGCTCTTTGAGTGAGTTGTTTAGTTCTTCATCATTATTTGGTGTGAGGACCATTTCATTGGTTTTGGGCTGTTGGTGTTTTGTGGATATTTTCAAAGGGGACATGCAGGAGTGTTAAGAAAATGAACAGGCAGACAAATTGGCTGGTTCTGCACCAGTGAGTGGGGAATTTATGCATGGCAGGCTGGATGTGGTCAAGGCCCTTTGACGGCAAGTGAATAATGCAAAGACACGAATGGATCATTATGGTCTGGAGAGAATGGTACAGCTAGGACAGACCGGGGGTTCTGGTCGGCGCTCTACATTCATGTAGACCGCTAGAAAGATTTGTGGAAAGAGAGACAGAGGAAGACAGTGCTAGAAATTTCTTGACAGCCTTTTGCCATGGCATGGAGGTGTGTCAACACATGAACTGATACACGCAGTTGCAGATCACAGATTGTGGAGAGGCATGATTGCCCACACCAGTCAGCAAGGCACATGAAGACTGATGATGAAACTCACAACAAAGCTACTCAACAGTGGAAGTGTAACGCTTACCAATGGGACAACTGCTACCACTGCACAAAGGTACAGCACTCTCACAGAGTTCTCCAGTACGGCCTTCTGGGCACTGGCAGACGTAGTCTCCAAACACATTCTTCTGGCAGACTTCATTGGCTGTGCACTTGGTGCTCCCACAGATTTGTTCAGAGCAGTTTCCTGTCAATACACAGTCAGAAACTATCATGTTTGTGTAAATAGACAGGGTATCTTTAATAACTGTAAAGCAAAACATAAATTTGTGTGTGTGTGTGAGCATGTGTGTATGTATGTATGTATGTATGTATGTGTGTGTATGTGTGTATGTATGTATGTATGTGTGTGTATGTGTGTTTGTGTATGTGTGTTAGTGTGTGTGTGTGTGCGTGCATGTGTGTGTGTGTGTGTATGTATGTATTAATAATTCCTCTGTTTTCTGCTTTCCACCTTAGTGCTGCAGTGATTGCTTACACTTCTTTTCTCATGCTTGAAGTTGTAAATAAAAATAAAAGCACCACTTTGCTCTGCCAGGATCTTTCCCCTCAATCCAGCCAAAAATCCCTAGCCAGATCTTTCACCCTGATGAAAAGAACCATTCGTGAACACTACTGCATCACATAGACTAGTGTTTTCATCTATCAATTGTTGTACTGTTACACCACTCTTTACATTCTCTTGCTAATGGGATAATGACTTGATTAGGACAGATTAAACAATAAACAAAAGACACACAACCTTACCTTCAAGACAGATGCACTGTTCTGTGTAGCGGTGCCGTGCCGATACAAAACTTGCTCTATTGACAATCACAGGGACTAAAGTACTCTCATCAAAGTGCACTTTCCCAACACAAGTACCAACATCACAGGATGACTCATCACAAGTATCAATAAATATCTCTACAACTTTCGCCCCAAGCACACTCTCAATCCTTCCCTGGATCCTTTCCATTTTTCTCAGCAGAGACTTTTTGTTGTAAAACCTATCAGGGGATCTATGAACAGCAAAGAGCACATCCAGGTTGTTACTGGTGCTCCTTCGGACTCGGTTAGACTTCCTGGAGCCTTTTTGGCTGGTCTCCATTATACTTTCTGATGACGGCTGAACATTGATGATTTCAATGTCATTTGTCCTTACATCTAGGTCTTGCTTGAGAACCTTCTGGAAGTCTGACTTGAAGTTTGCATAAAACTGCTCCTCTGCCATATTTTCGAACTGGATGGTCAGAGAATTCTCCAGCATCTCTTTAGATGTGCAAATGACTGCTATGTCCACTCGGCCATAGCTTGTAAACTTGCCATCAGATACACTGACATTGACGACATAATCTCCGGGATCCAGTCCAGTCAAGGCAATCAGACGGCCATCATTGCGATGGATGTCGAAAAAGTGGCTGTTTGGAGTTACTATGCTGAAGATGGTCTTGTCATAAGGATCTCGATCTAAAGCCTGCATGCGACCAAAGATACCTCCAGGAAAAGTGCCCACACAAGATCTAATTGTGACGGAGAGGTCTTGAATTTCCGGAGCGTACATGCTTTCGTCAACTACTTCAATTTCCACTAATGCTTCTGAATAAAGAGGTGGCTTTCCACTGTCAAAAGCTCGGGTGGTCAGTAAATATCTGCAGAGGAGACAGTAAAAAGTAAAATAAGTAAAGAACCCTTGTCCATGCCTCTAGGCCTACTGGGCATATAGGGCAAGACCTATATTTTATACAATGATAGGCACTGGGTGAGTGATGTGGTCAGCATCACGACATCCACCTTTACTTCCCAAGACTATACCTGGTGGCCACTCAAGGCTGGGTTGACCTGAGAGCCAAGGTCATTTCTGAAAAAATGTCTGCCTCCAAAAAAAACCAAACCCACAACCTTTCGATCCGCAGGCGAGCGTTGATGAGACAGGTATGCCACATGATGTTAGTGATCAAATGTAACATTATTCTGCATTTAATAAAGATAGAGGAAGCAGAGATGTTGATTTTTAGAAGAATGTTGAGAACATTGTGGACTGAGAAAATAAAACTCTTGAGTTCCAGGTGTGACTACATTACTCATCAAAACCAAAAGAAATTTATAGGGCAGATCAACAAAAGAAATGAAACAGAAAAGAAGTTAGCCATAAGCTGGGAACAGTAGGCAAGAAAAACAAAGGATGTCATATAAAGCTGGATGTTGCACACTTCATGGTTGGGCAAAAAACAAAAAATTAATAATAAAAGCAATATCAACAGCAGCAGACCAACAGATATAAGATAGAAATGAAGAGTTTAAAAAATACCTAAATAAATTGATAAACCTCAATAGAAATGGGCAACTGAACTTGGACCTCAATACTTGCAGGGCAGGGCAATATACTTTATACCATGATGGAACAAGATAATGTGAAATATTGAAATTGCCTAGACAAACTGAAAGTCGGCAGATCAAATTTAAGAGCAACATTTCAATTTTCTAAAGAATGCACCAATTATTAACCCACCAACCAACTATCCGTCTAAGCAACTATGAATCAAACTAGTCAGCTAACTACCCATTTATTTAATCAACAAATTAACTATCATCCAACAAATCAGCCTAACAATTATCCAACCAACCAATCAGTATTCCAATCAAGCAACTATCCGTCCAATAAATCAAACATCTGTTCCACCAGTTATTCTTCAAACAAATATCCCTCAACCAGTCAGCTAAAATATTATCCAACCAACCAACAATCAGTCATCCGTCCAACCAATCAATCAACCACCCAACCAACTGTACACCCAACCAATCAACCAGCTAATAAACTATTCATCCAACTAATCAACAAACTAACCATCCATCCAATCAATCAACAAACAAACTATCAATCTAACCAATCAATCAACCACCCAACCAACTGTACACCCAACCAATCAACCAGCTAATAAACTATTCATCCAACTAATCAACAAACTAACCATCCATCCAATCAATCAACAAACAAACTATCAATCTAACCAATCAATCAACCACCCAACCAACTGTACACCCAACCAATCAACCAGCTAATAAACTGTCCATCCAACTAATCAACAAACTAACCATCCATCCGATCAATCAACAAACAAACTATCAATCTAACCAATCAATCAACCACCCAACCAACTGTACACCCAACCAATCAACCAGCTAATAAACTGTCCATCCAACTAATCAACAAACTAAACATCCATCCAATCAATCAACAAACTAACCATCCATCCAATCAATCAACAAACTAACCATCCATCCAACTAATCAACAAACTAACCATCCATCCATCCATCCATCCATCCAACTAATCAACAAACTAACCATCCATTCATCCATCCAACTAATCAACAAACTAACCATACATCCAACTAATCAACAAACTAACCATCCATCCATCCATCCAACTAATCAACAAACTAACCATCCATCCATCCAACTAATAAACCAACCAACAAACTATCAATCTTACCAATCAATCAACCAACCAACTATCCATGCAACCAATTAACCAACTATCCATCCAACAAATTAACCAATAAACTATCCAAACAACAAATCAACAAACTATCCATTCAACCAACCTGCTATCGAAAAAAATTATCAATTAATCCAACCAACCAACTATTCATCCAACCAACCAACCTTTTATACATCCAACAAATCAATCAACTATCTGATCAACCAACCAACTATCTATCCAACCAATCAACTAACGAACTATTCATCTAACCTAACAACCATATTCCTAAAAGTCCTGTACTTACTTCTCCTGCACCTTCTTAGACAATTTACCAGCTGTGCTGATGACACCCCCGTCATCAATATGGAATTCCCCATTTTCATTACCATTGACAATCTCGTAGGTGAATGGGCCACTATTCTCAGGGAGGTCGGCATCTGTGACACTGACAGTGACAATTTCAATACCTGTCCTACGTCCTTCCTGCAGGACAAACAAGGACATAGTTATCAAACACATGACATAACTTGATTATAATCATACTATCATCATCAAGTGTCTTGCTGACTGGTCTGGTGAAGGCAGTCCTTTCTCAACTTGCAATATCCAACGGGTCGATATAACAGTTCAAGTGCCTACACCCTCCATGCCAAGAAACAGACTGTCAAGAATCTTCTCACACTGTCTTCCTCTATCTCTTTTTCCACAAATCTTTCCAGGGGTTCCATGTTCCAGTTTCCCTTTTCACATAACATAGTGACAAATGTGATGTCAGCTGAATTTTTTGACGTCTTCAGGCCCTCGCCGCCTCTTTGAAAACAAATATTTTACTCATTTTGGCTGTCCAGGAATTTTAAGCATTTTTCTGTAAAAGTGCATCTTCGGGAAATCCATAACTGTTTGGTTGATTATACTATATGAATAATATTTATTGTTTCAAACAAGCACTACAGTTAGTTTCCATGTATTCAATGTTTACTTTTCCTCACACTTCAACATTTAAATTTCCTAGCACTTCAGTAATAGGTTTTCTAAAAATAAAACATAAACTGTTTTTTTTTTTTTTTTAAGACAGCAGCATTTTATTTTGTGTCACCCTACATGTATTCTTTGTTGCCTCTTCACAACCTCAGATGCGGTTAGAAATTGTTAGAAGAATTTAAAAATGTCACAAACTGAATATTTAGGCTCCACAATGGACAGCAATGGAAATTATTCAATAGAAGTAAAAAGAAGGATGGCCATAACAATGTAAAGATTATACAGCATTAAAATTATATGGTTAAGCACCAGCAAAGAAATCAAGGTAACATTTTGGGAACATGCAACTTCCCTGTAGCAACATACAGATATGAGTGATTGTCTCACAGTCATTAAGGAAGAAAATTTAAGTTTTTCAGCAAAAATGCTACAGGAAAAATTCTCAGAATATCATGTACAAAAAAACAAAGAAACACAGATATTCTAAAAGGGTACATTACACAAAAAACATCTCACAATGAGAGTGACTTCCCTTCCTATTGATGCCTTGATCTGGTATAGCGCTTGCACTATGTCGCAGGGGTTTCAGGCGTAGCGAGTCGTATTTTACTCCTTGTCAGCGGCCGGCGATAGCACCTCTTCTATGCTGTGAGCTTTTAATGGTCCCAAAACATGTACAACTGGGCCTAACCCCAACACCCCTACTCCACAGCATCAGCCTATGTCCCACGACTGTATGCAGCCTCAATTATATGCTGTATAGTGCCGTGCTGCCTAGGAAGCACCCCTGCGACATAGTGCAAGTGCTGAACCAGATCGAGGCATCAATGGTAAGGGAAGTCACTCTCATTGTGGCCCGCTCAACATGATTAGAACCCCTAAAAGATATGAACATCAAGGAAGATTGGCCAGTAAATAGCATCTTGTTTCTGAAACTGAAATATTTTGGCTATATCAAGCACCACAGGGGAATGGAAAGAATAGTAGCTGAAGGCATGGTACCAGGAAACAGGCAGCGGCAGACCAGCATGAAGATCAGCATAGGATATATGCCACACCTTGGGTAGAAGGGACTAGGTGGAAGATCTGGCCAAAGAATGAGTTTCTTTTAGGCAGATTGTGATGTGAGGTACGTTCTGCAAGGGACCTCTTACATGATAATGATGAGTTTACTTATTTAAAGATCAGAACATGCATAGATTCAAGTACCTTAGTGCTGGAACATACATAATTCAAGTACAGCTTCAAGTTCATGCATTTCTTTCTTAGACTTGTATTCTTGTTTTAGACGACAAGAGACGTAAATGGAGCAACAAGGACACGAATGTTATTACAACATATTGTGTGACTATTAATCTGATACTCCCTTTCTTTGAGATTTAGTAAATGATTAACATGCAAAAACAAACTGTTAGCTGTTTGACTGTTGGCACTTAACCCAATGAAATAAGAAAAATGTCACAGTAGACAGTCCAAGTAAACGGGAAAATGCAAACAGGTGAATCATTTCGGTGACCTTGAAGCTATGAAAACATGGCAGAAGTAGCTTTTGCAAGATGTAAGAAAACATACCATCAATAAGATAGCTCTCAAGTGCAGTGAGAGAATAAAGAGTTGAAATGCTGCTATACTATGATGTTTGCGCAACTAGCAAAAAAACTGATATGGAAGCCAAAATGTGGTTTTAAATCAAACTGAAAGAATACCATAGATGAAAAGAAAAACAAATGAAGCAGTGCTTTAAAAAAAAGCAGATGAAAACAATAATTTAGACACAATCTGCATTGTGTAGGCAAGTTTTGCAAAGAAATAAACTTTAAAATGTAGTAATAACTGGCAAACAAGATGGTAAAACAATGTAAGGATTATTAAATCATCTGGCAAATGGACATAATCAAAAGAGAAGACAAAACTAGTGATTGTGTGAGATTTCAATGAATCACCCATGTTGCCAACATGGCACATGATAAATACAGGATAGTCAGAAAATATAGTGATGTTATTTCTTTTACAAAACCATCCAGCATCCTGATTTAAAAATTTTCCAGCTGAAATAAATTATTTAATCAAAAGCATGGCACCTTTGAATTATTTCACAGAACATCAAAGAATAAAATGGTTTGGTCATCCATTTAAAAACTGAACAAAAATCAGCCAGCAGCTAGAGATTACTCCATGAGAAATGAGAACATCAAGCTACAGGGCAAGAGGTTGACCAAGAAAGAGATGGGTGGTGGGAGCCAAAAAGAACAAGACAAACGCAATATGACAGTAACACAAGCTACGCAACTAGCAAAATCAGAAAACCACATTCAACTCTTCTCTTCAGTGGGTTCTGGCATAAGCAGTAGGATAATAAAAGAAGAATTAATAAAACATATTCCTCTGACTTCACCAGGTGAGATTATAGTAGGCACATAATATTATTTCTTATAAATCACGGTATGAATGGGCAAGACAAGCGAGTGGTCTGAAGAGAACATGAATATTCATGTTATTACAACATACAGCATGGTTCTTTCACTGCTCCACGTATGTTTTAGTAAACGGCTAACATGCAATACTTACTGATGCCAGTTTGGCTATCTATATTGAGAATAATGTAAGATATAAACGGAATCAAACAACTGTGTGGATTTTATGAAACAAACACTAGTCTTCAGTCTCGCACATGATCATGAAGCAGACGTGAGACTGGTAGTGACGAAAACAATAACCAAATATCTTCGATCATTTATTCATTCATCTTAAACTTTGAATAAACATGAGAACAAACCTAATATTTGGAATCATAGCAATTGTCACTGAACAAATTAAGAAGAATTTGGAAGCATCAGAGATGTGGTTTCTGAGACGAATGTTACGAATACCTTGGACGGTCAGAGTAGCTAACAACGATTGCTTGAAAGTAGATCTCTATATACAACAATAAGAAAGAGACAAACACTGTTCTTTGGCCACATAATGAGAAGAGAGACATTGGAGAACATCATGACAACTAGAAAGATCAGTGGAAAAAAGGGGTAGAGGCAGACCAAGAGAGATGATGATGGATAAGCTAAAACGATGGCATGGAGGGATATCATCAAGAGAGCTGTTCCAGTCAACCAGGGATTGTGATCTGTGGAGACACATGAGTGCCTACGTCAGCTGGCAGGGCACATGACGATGATGAACAATTATATTTTACTACAGTGTTCTATATACATCATTCTGTTGTATTCAGAAGTACAGCACAAGCTGAATGACATAAATCCATGAGTGGGTTCTGGGGCCCAAAACTTTGGCAACAACAACAACAAGTAACAGATCCAATGTTTCTTCACCACAAAAAGCATGTTGTAAGAGTCAACTAATTGGGAGCTTCCTTTGAAGCCAGAGGCAAGGAACCAACAGTCTGCATGAAAATGAGTCAGATCTTTAAAACAGATGTGCACACAACACTCAGTTTCTGGAACAGGAGTAGAGTCCAGAAGTGGACAAACAACCAGAACCGTCTGCCAGAGTTTACAGCCGGTGAATGCGAGGAAGAAAAATACAATTAAAAAAAACCATGCTTACACTACAGCATTTTAGCTTACCTGAACAAGGCCTTTGTAGACATCAAGAGAGAAGATTGGCGGGTTATCATTGGTATCATCAACAGTGATACTGACAATTGCTGAACTCAGCAACATAGGCAGGCCAGAATCATGGGCTTGGATGATTAGGGAATAGCTGCTGATCTGAAAGAAAGAAAACAACTGTCAGCTCTTTGCTGGCTACTGTAAAGGAGATGGAGCATGTGTGGAAAAGTCTCAAGTGCAGCGTTGTGAATTCTTGATTGATTCATTCATTCTGCCAAAAAAATTACTCTGTCAGTTTGACATCTTTATTACACTTTTTAATCTACCCCCAGTGTTCTTATTATTCATCTATAAAATGCATCTCTCCATCTTCTGCACAACCTTTCACTTATCGGCTAACTGTCCATGCTTCACTTCCATATATTAGGATTGATTTCACAGAGATTAAGAGCTTACTACATGTCTTTTAGCATGCCCAAAACACTTTCTGCTTCTCCTTATTTTGTATTCCGAGCCCTTGAGGTTCACTGCTGCATGCATTACTCACCTCCATTCATTGAGTGCCATACGAAAGATGAGTGCTTAAAAGGGTTGAATGAAAGTAAGACAGGCCTGCGTGCCAAATTTGAATCCCTTTGGAAATAAAGTTTGTTTGTTCATTCCATTATGGTCTTTTCTTTGTAGCTGGTGACTAGAAGTGTCTGCAGGTCTGCCTGTATATTATCTCTACACCATCTCTAGAAAACTATCTTCTGCCTAACTCCTGCACATGATTTACAAGTACAGATCAATATACACTGAACAAGGGAAAAAAATGTTTTGTTTAAAACAGAGACAAAAGACATCCAGAAAATTAATTATAAACTGAAGAATCACAAAGGCTTACAGTTTCTCTGTCCAAAGGAGAATTGATTTGCAGAATGCCATCTTGAGGGTCAATGACAAACTGGTTGTTGGCATTTCCATCCATAATACTGTATGTGATCTTGGCATTTGGTGGACTATCACTGTCAGTGGCCAACACCTGAAATGTTGACATTTGAGAATATGTTAGTTGCTGTCAAAAGTAAATGAAAAGTATAAATTTATTGCCTAAAAATTTTCCTGCTCACCACTTATCCAAGTCTTTGCATTTAAAAAAATTATGTGAGGGTTGTTATTGGATTTTGTTTAAATTTAATATTTTTTTTTTTTAAATTAAATCTGAGACCTGATTAACTAATTTCCTATAGGATATACTGGGAAATAGGGTTGAGTTGAGTTTAGTTGAGTCAAGAATTGACATCACAGCACTCGGGGCATTACCATGCATGCTCCATCCTCATCTTCAGCAGCCAGCGCAGAGTTCCAGTACTGATGGTACCTGTTTTGAGGTGCAAACTTTTTTGAGATATGAACTGTAGTCAGGAACACATTAAGTTCGTTAGCCGATGTACCACTGTCTTCTTCTTCTTCTTCACTTCCTCTTTTACCGCTGTGGGTGTCGAGGGAGATATAAGGTTCTGTTTCTAGCTCTTCTGGCAGCCTCGACCATAGGCACATCGTGCTGATGTAGAGTTTCTCTGATGTTATCCTTCCATCTTGTTCTTGGTCTACCCCGTGCTCTACGTCCTTCTTCTCTTTCCATGTATGCTTTGTATGGTATGGTGTCACAAGGCATTCTCTCTAAGTGGGCAAACCATTTCACTTGCTGTCTTTGTATGTAATCCAGAATTGGTTCTGTGCCGACTTGTTCTCTTATCATCTCATTCCTGATCTTATCTCTTATAATCACTCCTACAGCCCTTCTCAGACATCTCATTTCCGTGGTTACTAATTTTCTCTTATGGTTTGTTGTGAGTGACCATGTCTGGCACTGGTAGCACAGAGTTGGAATAAATATGCTTTGAATAAGATGTCTCTTTGTGCTGATTGGGATTGTCTTATGCTGTAAGAGGGGGGCTAGCTGTCCCAATAATTGGTTTGCTTTACTGCATCTAATGTCAATTTCTTTATCCAATTTCCCATCTTCGGTAAATGTAGTTCCCAGATATTTAAACTCAGATGCCTGTTTAATGCCTTTGTATTCTATTGCTATGTTTAGATCTGTCTTCTTTTTTCCTATTGACATTACTTCTGTCTTTTCAGTGTTGATTCTCATATTATTTGTTTTACATTCTTCATTCATGGATGTTAGATGTTGTTGCAATTTCATGGCTGTATCTGCTATCAATACCACTGTACTTTATAAATAATAATATTTATCAGCAATGGCTAATCACAGATTAAAATGAGGAGGAAGAGCACTGTACCTTAAATATTTCAGTTCCCGCTTCAACATCTTCACTGACATGGATGGTGTAGGCATCCTGGCTAAAGCGTGGAGGGTTATCGTTGACATCTGTCACATTGATACTGATGACAGCCGTATTGGTCAACGGTGGCGTGCCACGGTCTGTGGCTAACACTGTGAGGAAATACTCTCTCGCAAGTTCATGGTCAAGTGGCTCTGCCACGGTTAATTTACCTTTAGAAATTAGAGAATGCAATTTGGTTAAATGTAGTAATAGTTTATAAACTAATGTGTAACTTTGCTTGTTTCACAAACTTATCACAATCTTAGTCTGTTTTAACATTTCTGTAAAATTACAGTATAACCTCAGGACAGAAATTTATTCTTGTTCTGTGACTGAGCTCGTACAGTGAATAACTCATATTACAAAACTATTTTTCTCATTAAAATTAATGTAAATAATTTTAATCTGTTCCATCCCTCCAAAAATTACCCTTTTATTTTCAAAATGATGTTTTTCATTTCGTTAATGAGGAGAAAGTTTGGCACTGTTTTTTTTTTTCATTAGTGGAGACAAGAATACCTTCTACCATAATTTCAACACCAATGTCTTGCTGACTGGCTCAATTCTCCTTCAGCAAGTGTTAAGTGACCTTATAATTTAAGTTATGGAGATTTTGTCAAGTAATTCTGAGAGTTCTCATCTCTCCAGCTTGCATTCTGGATTTCGCCTCACATTCTGGGCAAAAAATGGTGAGCCTGACCCATTATCCTAAAAAAAAAATGTATATCCAGACACACTGATATCCTCAGGTTTCACTGCATTCAGTTACATGTTTTGCTTTCTTGTCTTTTGTATTCAAAATAAACTTAACATTCAAAAACATGAAGCAAGTGACAAACAGCCAAGTTTACCTGTTCGAGAATCCATCACAAAATTTGCCTTGCTCAAGTCAAGTTCACCTGTTTGAGAATCCATCACAAATTTGCCTTCCTCAAGCCAAGTTTACCTGTTTGAGAATCTATCACAAATTTGCCTTGCTCAAGCCAAGTTTACCTGTTTGAGAATCTATCACAAATTCGCCTTGCTCAAGCCAAGTTTACCTGTTTGAGAATCCACCATAAATTTGCCTTGCTCAAGCCAAGTTTACCTGTTTGAGAATCCATCATAAATTCGCCTTGCTCAAGCCAAGTTTACCTGTTTGAGAATCCATCATAAATTCGCCTTGCTCAAGCCAAGTTTACCTGTTTGAGAATCCATCATAAATTCGCCTTGCTCAAGCCAAGTTTACCTGTTTGAGAATCCATCACAAATTTGCCTTGCTCAAGCCAAGTTTACCTGTTTGAGAATCCATCACAAATTCGCCTTGCTCAAGCCAAGTTTACCTGTTTGAGAATCCATCACAAATTTGCCTTGCTCAAGCCAAGGTTTAGCTGTTTGAGAATCCATCACAAATTTGCCTTGCTCAAGCCAAGGTTTACCTGTTTGAGAATCCATCACAAATTTGCCTTGCTCATTTCCAGCAATAAGTGAGTAGGTAATGTCAGCATTCACTCCAATGTCCAAGCTGGTGGCCTTGACCTGTCTCACTACAGCACCCACCTGGGCTGATTCTTGAAGTGTGGCCGTGTAGCTGGAGTGCTGGAACTCTGGCGGGTTGTCATTGACATCCAACACTAGCACAGCTATGGTGACCTCTGTAGACAGCTCTGGGGTGATCTAAGCGGGCAGAAGATTCAACACCAAGTCTTAGTATGTGAACTGGCTGAATTTAGGTGTTGTACTAAAGTTAGCTCGCCTGTGGATTTGCAGTCCTGTGCTCAAATCTGAACAGAGCCAGACTTGAAAAGAAAAATTACTTTGGCTTCTAGACTGACCCCCCCCCCCCCCCCCCTTGCTCTTTATGTGGTACTGAGTAAAGTCCTGGGAAGTAAAAGTGGCCAGTATCATGTCGACCACATCACCCACTGAGTATTGACTGGTCTTTAAACTAGAGGTCTAGCATTATATGCCCAATGTGAAATATGAAAGTGGGAAATCTCTGAGACTTGTGTTCAATTCCTCTTCTTCTTCTTCTTCTTCTTCTTCTTCTTCTTCTTCTTCTTCACACTCACTGTAAACTCCTGTGGAAATGTTCTGGCTGTTCCTCCACTTCTGGACTTTAATCTTACTCCAGAACTGGAGTTTTGTGAGCACATCCATTTTACTAAATACATCCCTCATTAGTTTACTTACTAGGGGAGCAATGGATCTATTCATTTTTCTCTCTCCCGAAAAAGGTCCCAGAACCCAAATAGGATCTACAATAATTGATCTAACTAATAATTTGTATTCTCTCTTTCTCTTTTTTTGCTACTCTCCCTCTAATTTGTATCCCCTCTTTCTCTCTTTTTTTTTTTTTTTTTTTTTTTTGCTACTCTACTCCCACCCCCTCTCCTTTCTCTCTTTTGCTTATTTCTCAATTTTTTCTTCTCTCTTTCTTTTATACTCAACTAACACCGCATCACTCATCTGCTGTCTGTCACAAACTTTCTTATTTTCTTAGTGACTCAGTATTTCTTAACCATAATATAGATTAAAACTCTCACACATTTCTCCAATCATGTTCTATTCCTCTATAACTGCAGCTTTTTTCTCTGCTAGTACACAGACTCAAGAAAACAAGTAGGAAAAAGTAGGAAATAAATTATACATGCTGCATTAAAAACAGTCAAATGAAGAGAAGTGCAAACACGGGTGGTATGTTAAAGATTTTGCAGTTAAGAAGAAATTAATTTCTTATTTTAATATAAAATTTTCACTGGGCAGACATGTCACAAAACATCAACTAATATTGAAAACAAGTAACTGAAATGTGATAATGCAAAAGTAATAAATAATGGTTTTTATTTTTTTTAAATATGAATAATAAAGGAAAATAAATATTTTGTCAAGACATAATATAAATAAATGATTTATACAAAAAATTCAGAGAAAAGCTGAATGAACTGGAAAAAAAATTCAAACTTAATAGAAGCATTACTTACTGGATTATATGCAATAACAGTAAGAGTGTAGCTTGGTGATTTCTCTCTGTCTAAACTGGCAACTATACTAATGATGCCACTCTCAGGGTCAAGGCTGAAAACACTGCTGGAATTGTGGGAGAGGCGATAGTTGATGTGACTGTTGATTCCTGGAGATGAGAACAAGCTCTGTTTGAGAAAATATTAAGTTTAAAAAAAAAAAAGAGAGAGAGAGAGAGAATAAAAAAAGCAGCAAGTCTAAAGACTTCTTCTCTCTGGCCATGTTATGTGGGAAGACCTCAATCTAAATTATGTACAATTCTACGTACACTATCCTAAATATGCTAAATACATGCATCAGTGACAACATTAAAAAGTTCATATGGAACTAGTCAGCTTGATGAGAACATAATCACATACAACAGAATTCTTATTGTGGTTAAAAAGTATTTGTTGCACACAAAAACAACTACATTTTTCTTTTAAAGTCTAAATCAAAAGGTTAAAAAGTCAAACTTTTAACCATGGACTCTGCTACTCAGCTGACAGGAAGATTTTGGTTTTACTAGGTAATTTTATGTTCAGTAGTTTGCAATTGCTTAACTCTTTGAGTCCCAAAGAATGCATCACGGGCTAACTGGTTACACCCCAGGAGCCTAATGGGGAAGTGACGAGTGAAGATTTTTAATTTACCACTGACCAGTAATAAAACGTAGACTGCTCAATTTCAACTTCAATTCCAGTTCTTTATGTTTAATATCAGGCGTGGTGATCATTAGACTCATTTGGAAACATGGTTAAAGGCCTGAAATGTAGTAAATATGCAAGGTTTACCAAGTTACTAAATGTCTAAAAACAATATGGCTGTCAAGCAGTAGTCTACATGCATGCCAACATGATTTATGGCTTTAGAAGTCTCAGATATAAATATAGCATGTGTTTATTATATTTATTCCAAGTTAGATAGATAACGTTACAAAGTAGACTTGTTTCAGTCGTTTATAGAATCAAACTTAGCTCTAATGTGTACCTCACGAAAGGGGTACAACGATAGCAAAGTCAGCTGACACAAATAGAATAAATATTAGTTCTAGTGCTATTTCCCTTATTATTTAGGAACTTAGCTACAAAACGTAGCACAAAAAAGCACAAAAACTTGTCTATTTTCCATCAACAAAACAATATTTACCTGTATCAGCATCATGTGCCACCACTCGAGTGAGAAGCGTATGGATCTGTGCATCTTCCCGGATGCTGTACGAGTCCCGCAGGCTGCCTGCAGCAAACCTTGGAGGGTTGTCGTTGACATCCTTCAGAGACACTACAACTGCACTGGTGCAGCTGAGGCCACCTTCATCTGTTGCTGTTGCTGTCAGGGTGAACTGAGCCTTGGTCTCCCGGTCCAGCAGTTTGGCAGTTCGGATCAGACCTGAATGCGCATATACAACTTTAAGTTCATGAGTCCACCGTACATTAATAGCAATAGTAATACCAAATATTTCAGGCGAACGAAAGAAGAAGAAAGAAAAGATGTTTGGTATTTTTGAGGTTTTGAACAACGGATCAACATCATAACACACGGGTAGAAACCCATTAGTGCTCTGTTCTTCTTCTAACTCAAGTCTGAGTCCGAAGAAGCTCAGCACAGTGCACAGGCTCTGTAGCACCGGCGAGAATCCTGAAATACTTTGGGTAGATTTTTTACTCAAAACTTTGCCCGGGCAGTGTCATTAGGCTACTCTATTCTATTTCCAACTGCCAAGGAATTTTTTTTACATGTGCAACAATGCACACAGGCGTCCAATCTCACTACCCAGAGACCAGGGGCAATTACTAGAAGTCCAAGTCCATGTGAAAAAATCCCAGCCCTTACCGGGGATTGAACCCGTAACCTCTAGCACTCGAGGCAGACATACTGCCTCAAGACCATGCAGCCCCCTAAACAATTTTATAGGAAAGGAAGAGAACTCAAACAGAAAGACAAAGAAAATAAGTATTTACCTGAGTCTTTATCAATAACAAAATGATCAACTCCCTCTCCTTCCAAACTGAACACAAGCTTTGCTGTCTTTGTTTCGCTTTCATCAGCATCTGTGGCTTGGATTAAGACAACTTGAGAACCCTTGACAATATCTTCATTGAGTTCCAGTTTGTAGAATGACTATGATGTTTGAGGCAATAAAATATGATTAGTTACATAAATGTGGTGATTAAAAACATGAAGAACAATTACTAATAAGCTACAATGTTCACTAACTGGTGACTCTGTAGAAATGATGGAATAAAATGATATAACAGAGTTGAGCTTAGTCAAGAATTGACATCACAGCACTCAAGGCATTCCATGTATGCTCATCTTCATCATCAGCAGCCAGCGCAGAGTTCCAATACTGATGGTACCGGTCACAATCTGGTTATATGTCTGTCTTGCATTTCCTCTGAGTATAGTGAGCCGGCCAGACCCTCTAACTTCACCCAGATGCCTCATTCTCTCCAGGCCATAATCATCTTCTATCTCTCCTGATTCCATTGCTTGTTCCTGATCTTATATTTAGTGAACAAATCTGAAGAACTCTAGACTTTTGGCCCAAAATGGAAGATTGGTCATTGCAGAATGTTCAGTTTTAAAATTATTAATGCTTCTGACAGTTTAATGCAGTTTCCATATTTGGACGGTAGTCTACAGTTTTTCTGTCTGAGCTACTGAGCTTAGTGCTTGATGCAGCCCTGTGAGCTGGGTTTTTCCTTTGGAATGCCTTTCATTTGTGCAGCAGTTGTGTCCTGGTATTCATATGGCATGTAGCTGGTTTACGTGTGAGCTGACAAAATATCTTATGTATTAATTCTTTATGTGTATAGCCAACTTACCGTACCTGACTACTTCTATCATCAACAAACTGCATTTTTGGTGGCGACTGTTAGATTTCATGCCTTTAGCAACTGAAATATGCATTTACAGAGTGCACATATTTCTGGATTGTTCCGGGACTAGTTGTTCGTTCACCAGTTTTTTCAAACGTGACTTCAGGAACATTGCATCTGATTTTTACTAGTACAGGTACAGAGCAAGTATGGGCAAACCTGATTGTGCTGACGTTGAAAAATCGACTTAGACTAAGACTGAGACTAAGTCAAAAGAACTCTTTACAACACATGTGTTTCTGCAAGGATTGTATGTTTGGCCCCTCTGGAAGTAGTATACCCATGAGTTTAGTACTGCCGTTCATAACTCCTTAGCTAGGACCTTGTTGGACTGAAAGAGTTATAGGAGGCAGTAGGTCTTTTACTTTTCCTCCAAAATGGGAAATTAGCAATGCAAAAGAGGAACACAAGACAAAACCTTCTACAAAATACACTGAGAAGCAGAAGATCAAAATGGTCTGGACATCGTATTAAAATGAATAAATACCAGTTAGCGACTCAGATGCTACATGCAAGCAGAGCTGATGTGACAGCAGGAGGGAGAATGATGATGATGATGATGATGATGATGATGATGATGAGAATGATGATGATGAGAATGAGAAATGATGATGATGATAATGATGTTGAAAATGTTGATTATAATTAGAATATTGATGTGAGACTGATGATGAGAATGATGATGATGGGATGAGAATGATGATGATGGAAATGATGATGATGAGAATGATGACAATGATGAGAGAATGATGATGATAAGAATAATTATGATGATGAGAATAATAATGCGTTTGAGAAGGATAATGATGCTATTGATGATAATGATACTGAGGATGATGGTGGTGCTGGTGAGAATGGTGATAAAGATCACAAAGAGGAGTATGATGAGAATGATAATGAGAAGAATGACACTATAATAACAATGATAGTGATGAGGAGGGGAGAATGATGATATTGAGGAAAAGGATGATGGTGAAAAGGAGAATGATAGTGAGAAGAATGACACTATAATAACAATGATGGTGATGAGGAGGGGAGAATGATGATATTGAGAAAAAGGATGATGGTGAGAAGGAGAATGATAGTGAGAAGGAGAATGATTATGGTGATGGTGAGAAGAAGAATGATGGTGATGAGAATGATGATGATGAGAATGATGATGATGAGAATGATGATGATGAGAAGAAGATGATGATGAGAATGATGATGATGAGAATGATGATGATGAGAAGAAGATGATGATGAGAATGATGATGATTAGAAGAAGATGATGATGATGAGAAGAAGATGATGATGATGAGAAGAAGATGATGATGAGAAGAAGATGATGATGAGAAAAAGATGATGATGAGAAGAAGATGATGATGAGAATGATGATGAGAAGAAGATGATGATGAGAATGATGATGATGAGAAGATTATGATGAGAAAAAGACAATGATGAGAAGAAGATGATGATGAGAAGAAGACAATGATGAGAAGAAGATGATGATGATGAGAAAAAGACGATGATGAGAATGATGATGATGAGAATTATGATGATGAGAATGATGATGATGAGAAGATGATGATGAGAAGAAGACAATGATGAGAAGATGATGATGATGAGAAGAAGACGATGATGAGAAGAAGACGATGATGAGAATGATGATGATGATGAGAAGAAGATGATGATGAGGAAGATGATGATGAGAAGAAGATGATGATGATGAGAAGAAGATGATGATGAGAAGAAGACGATGATGAGAAGATGATGATGAGAAGAAGACAATAATGAGAAGAAGACGATGATAAGAAGGGGAATGATGATGATGAGAAGGAAATGCTGGGGATGATGAGGAGGAGGAAAATGAGGATGGTGATGATAATGAGCAGGATGAGAATGATGATGAGAAAATGGAAATGAAAATGATGATGATGAAAGACACAGACATTTAACAACTTGCCTGTGTGCACACTGGAGCATTGTCATTATCGTCTATGATAGCAACATTGACGACTGTGTAGGCAACAAATGCTCCATCTGTGGCAGCTACAGTCAGACTGTACCTGCTGATGGATTCCCTGTCCAGGGCCTTGTTGACTCTCAGTTCTCCTAGACCATGTACCTGCAGCAGACAGGAATACATCATGTTGAAACAACTAGGCATTCCTTACCACTGCTGTTAGAAAACTACACTATATGATCAGCTACATCTGTTGCTGAGCTTTGGGAGAGAACTAGCACTACTGGGGGGTGAACTGATACATGACAAGGCAGATGTGGTTAAGGCCTTTTGGGAACAAGCACCAGAATCAGTAAAGAAGGAAGATTATTACGGCCTGGAGAGAATGAGGCACCTGGGTGTAACCAGAGGGTCTAGACGGCTCACTACACTCAGAGGAAAGGCCAGATGGACATATAACCAGATTTGACTGGTACCATCAGTAATGGAACTCTGCGCTGGCTGCTGAAGATGGGGACATAGCACACATAGGAATGCCCAGAGTGCTGTGATGTCAATGCTTGACTAAAGTCAACTCAACTGGAAGAGAATGAAATAAATTCCAGTGAATCAAGAGGTGAAAAAGAGACTATGAAATAAATTCCAGTGAATCAAGAGGTGAAAAAGAGACTGATGTCGGATAGGACACAACTGAGAACAATCATCATCATCACCAAGTGTCTTGCAAGCTGGCGTAGGCATTCATAGATCTCAGTCTTTGATGTTCTGGATCATTCTACTGATGATATTCCTCCATGCCACTGTCTTAAGCCATCCACCATCATTTCTCTTGGCCTGCCTCAGCCTCTTCTACCAGTGATCTTTCCAGTAATCACAATATTTTCCAGTGTTCCTTTTCTCATAACATGACCAAAGAACTTTGTTTGTCTTCTTCTCCTGAGAACAATACAACTAGAATATTTTTGCGCTGGTACCCTACCCACAAGGGCATAGAAATAGAGGCAGATTTAAAATAAAAAACATAGAGAAGGGATCAAGAGAGTGAAGTTAAAAACATGGGGAGGACATAGGGAGAGCTGCATGTAATAGTAAAGGATAGAACAACTTGGGTTGAGCCGGTTGAAGGCCTACGCTCCATTGGGGGATAGAAGGCAGAAGAAGAAGACTGTTGTTGTTACAGGATAACCTAACAGGGATCAGTTACTACTGCTGTTACAACATAACTCCTTGATGCTACACCACTAACTAGTTTAACCGTCCCCTGGTACTGAAAGTTGATCAGAGACTGAAGCTGGCTGTCCCCCCCCCCCCCCTCTTGTGAAACATATATCTAAGGTTACTTATCATCAGTAGGAGTCACCATGGCGTTAGCGGATAGATGCCCGCCTGTGGAGCGGAAGGTCATGGGATGGCATCCTGACGGAGTGGGACTCCCAGGTCAATACAGCTTTGAGTGGGTACAAGATGCAGTCCTGGAAAGTAAAGGCAGCCGGCGTGATGCTGACGACACCACCCATCAAGTGCCGATCGATCTATAAAATATACGTCTAGCCTTATATTCCTAATTCACCTAAAGGCGTGGAAAAGAGACCTTCATTTACTTCACTTTTTTTTTTTTTAACCTACTCATCATCATTATCAATCAACAGGTCCTTTGCAGAACATCGCTCACGTCACGGCACACCTGAAAGTCACTTTTTCTTTAGCCAATACTCCAGCCCTATGTGCTTTTACAGCAATGTATCTTCAGTGTCTTGTGTCCACCTATGGAAGGTCAGACCCTGCCTCATATTTCAGAAACTGCACTCTCCCTCACAGTTTTCTCTCCAGGCCATCATGATGAAAGATGATGTTTAAAATGGCCAAAATATACCAGCTTTCAGAACTTGATGCTGTTTTTGGGCCAATTCTCCTTGATGTTCGGGTTATATAGGGTGTCTGTGGTTTTAGGCTACAATACTTGTGTAATTTATTGATATGATTTGAATTTGATTTGATTCAAGAACCGACATCACAGCACTCGGGGCATTCCCGAGCCAGCAAAGAGTTCCGATACTAATGGTGCCAGTAGCATTCTGATTAAACGTCCGTCTTGCCTTTCTTCTGAGCCTCGAGCATCTGCCAGAACCTCTTGTCACTCCCAGCTGCATCAATCTCACCAGACTGTGGTGATCCATCTGCTCCTCCAAACTGTACACGCTCTCCCACAAGGCACTAACCACGTCTGCCTTATCATGTATCAGTATTCCACCAAGTTGTGCAGAGCCAGCCAGTCTGTCCACCTGTTAATTTCCCAATACACAGGCATACCCCGGTGAAAAAACCCAGACAATACTCCTCACCCGTGTCCTCCGCAGCGAACAACGAAGCATACCTGTTCTGATCTTCCTCAGCATGCTTTCTAAGTCAGTTACAATCACGATGTGTGTGTGTGTGTTGTGTTCTCTAGCCAGCGGACTCCACCTCCATTCTTAAGCTGGATGTTGTAGTATCATATGCTAAGCTCTCCTGCACCAATTGTCGGCCATTAACTTTTGCTAAGAAGCCCCAAGTGCTTCTTTTGCCTCTTGACACTGAACCGTCTGCGTAAATGATCAAATCCTCTGAGCAAGCATTATCTTGAATTAATTGCTGAATTTCCACCTCCATGGCACCTGCTGGCCAGTATCTGCATTCCCGGCTCAGCGTGATTATGACTCTACACAAGTCTGACTGTTCAGGTGGCACTTTTTAAATTTTTTTTTTATTGAGAAACAAAAGAATGAACTGATCTGGCCATCTAATGAGAATAAAACCAACGATGCCATCAGCAAGAGCACACAACCTCAACATCAAGAGGCGGGAAAGGACTGAGAAGAAGATGGATTGAAGGAGTCACCGACATCTTGAGACTGCATAACATCACGGCATATTAAGCGACTGAGCGCCCCACGGCTCGGATGCTAATCGTCTGATGAACTGTGACGCCTAGCGGCATAAGGAGATACTAACGAAAGAAAGAAGACGAAGACTTGTATAATCGTAAATGAATTCATTTCTTAACAGATAAACATTACCAGATACTTACCACAAACTGCCCCAGCTTGTCTCCGTCAGTAATGTAGTAGGTGACTTGAGAATTTAACCCTACATCAGGGTCTTTAGTCATCAGTCTCATTAAAACAGTTGTTGCTGGTGCGCCCTCATTGACAGCTGCCGAAAATGTGTCATGGTCAAACCGTGGTGGACTGTCATTGGTGTCAGTGACAGTAATGACGACATAGGTGGTGGCAGTCTGAGGAAGCTCGCTGCCAAATTTCCGAGAAGCACTTCTTGGGGTGTCTGACACCACAACGGACAAGTTGTAAACTTCTTGCTGCTCCCGGTCAAGCTGTGTCAGTAAAACTATCCAACCTGACTCAGGGTCGATGGCAAACTTGCTAGCCATGGCGGTCATCCCCGGACCAAAGGAGTATGTGAGTGGCTTCACCTCCAGGTCACGGTCAGAAGCTTGCAGCTGAATGATAGAATGCTGTACCTTAGTGCTCTCTGGTAAAGTAGCTAGGTATGGTGAGCATGTGAATACAGGTGTGTTGTCATTGACATCTCTCACCTGTAGGAATAGAAAAATTATCTTTTAACGCATTTTAAAAAAAGTCAATAGATCTTTAACTGTAATGTAGACAGGTAGTAAATCTTCTTTTTATTAATGTTCACAGGCGGTAAACTTTAGCAGAAAGTTCTAGTTGTTCAATTTCTGGACTAGAATTTTGTTCCAGAACCTGAATGTTGTGTGCACATCTGTTTCACAGATCTGACTTATTTGTATGCAGATTGTTGGTTCCTTGCACTCCGACTCTGAAGAAATGTTGAATGTTGACGTAAGAATCAACATCATAGCACTCAATGACTCTTGATAGTGTCACTGACTTGGCTCTGGTGTCGCCCACCATTGCTCCTCTTTGTAGATGGAACACACTGGGATACCTTGACAGCGACCACCTACCTTGTGTCATCTTGGTTGAGAATAACAGGAAAAGCAACAAAAGAAGCAGAACAAATACTTTTCAATATGCCAGCACAGGACAGGACGCCATCAGCACGGTTCGACGCTGTAAATTAAATGCTCCCATAAACAGTGGAAAAAATGGACCCAGCCACCATGGTGGGATGAAAAGGTTGAAAGGGCATGGCTGAAAAAGAGGTAGGCTGTCAGGGTATGGCAGAAGGCCAGGAAGAGTAACGCATCGCAGCCAGATTTCCTGAATGACCTGAAAGTTAAAGTTAACAAGATGACAATGGCCTTCAAGCTATGTGCAACACAGGTCAGAAATGTACTGAAAGAAGGCATGCTCGGAAGGGTCCCTTGCTACATTTTGGCGACTTCACCAGGCAATGAATGGCACCACTCGATGTCGGGGTATCTCAGACTTTCAGAGCACAGATCTTCTGAGCAGTGGTTTTCAACCTTATTTAGATGGTCTCCCCCCAATATGGCAGGGACACCCAACCCCCCCCCCCCCCTTTTAAAAAAAGTTATTAATAAGAGAAGAATAAGAAAACTCCAAGCTAAATCAAACTATCAAATATAAATAGAATGAAAGTCACGGGTTATTATGTTAATTAGATTTTAACAACAGACGTACAAACTGCTCATAAAAACAAAATTATCCTTGCCTTTTTGTTTGATAGTCTTTCAAATGATCTTATTTATAATTAAACTGAGCAAAATATTGCAGATTATTACAAGTACAAATGCAAGCAATTTGAAACTTAATGACTCCTTTAAACATCCTTACCCCCACCCTCCTCCAGGTTGAAAATGTCTGCTTCACGACAGCAATCCTCTAAATCACAGATATATTACAAAGCAACACACACATAAAGGTGAGAGTTTCAATACCTGAATGTTGATTTCCAAATAGTCCATCAAAGGAGGTGATGTTTTAGTCTCTGCCCTAACAAACAGAGTGTATGCAGGAGTTACTTCCCTATCCAACTGTCTCATCAGACGCAGCTGACCGATCTCATCAATGCTGAACACCACAGGTCGATTGGTGCTGTGTGTAAAGCCAGGAATAATGGAGTACTTCACAGGAGTTGCACTTCTGGCCTTCACGGTTGCAATGATAGTCCCAACCTGGTGAACACACAGGCAGATCGGATAACATGAAATGTTAGTGGCACCTTTTCATTATTCCAGATAAGTGTTATATTGTGCTATAGGGAACCCTGAGAATCCCAGCCCATGGAAGAATGTGAACAGGAAGTCAATGCAGTAATCTGGTAACCTGGTATGCAGTAACATCATCATCATGTAGCAGGTCCTTTGCAGAACGTCGCTCTCATCACAGTCTGCCTGAAAGAAACTTGGTCTCTCGCCAGTTCTCCCGCCTCATGCATTTTCACATTCAAGGAGTCACCTATATCCTGTGCCCATCTTCGTGTCGGTCGGCCCCTGCCCCTCCTTCCTGGTACCATGCTTTCTGCTATTCTTTTCATGGCGCTTGATACGACCAAAATATTTCAGCTTTCGAGAAAGGATGCTGTTTATTAGCCAATCTTTCTTGATGTTCAGATCTTTTAATGCAGTAACATACTTTAAGGAAAAACCTAAAAGAGCCCTCCAGTCTATCAGAAGTGAATAAAATCTGGCCAGAGATGATCACCATTTACTCGACCGGCATGGACAGGTTGTCATTCTCTGCCTCAGAACAAGGCACAACAAACTTAACAAGCATGTGCCAAGGTTTTATCTAAGTAGGTCACCATTGAGCCCAGGTGGGCTGTATGTGCAAACTTCAGAACATGTCCTACAAGTCTATCCCTTGCAGAGCTCATTCAGAAGGGATACTGGCCCAATGAGTCAACCTCATACTCAAAGCAGTATGGAACCAAAAGGGATAATATTAAAAAAAAAAAAAAAAGTTAATTTATCACAAGAAGTCATCTATCAATGTAAATCAGAGAGTGATCACAAAAAAACGAAGACAGTCCATGGAAATATTAAATTGCTAGCATTATGAAAAATTTTCCACAATTAGTTAGTTAGTTACTCTTTCCTCTTGAGCCTAGTTCAGCGGAAAAGGCAGAGATCATTGCTCTCCATTTCTGGCGGTTGGTTGCTACCTGTTGTAGGTCTTGGATGTTTATTATGCTTATGGCCAAGCCTTCCATCATGATGGTTCGACACAGGCTCTCTCTTAGTTTTCTCCAAGTAAAATGTATAATTCGAAAAAATGCAAAAAAATTGTTATGTAGTAATTATCCTATTATAAATAGTTTGAGTGGTGAGTTACAAATATGAATCTTCCACCATGCAGGAGTTAACCTGTACCTGTTCATCTTCATCCACAAAGAAGAGTCTGTTAGAATCTGCAAACTTGGGAGGAGAGTCAGCGTTGCCTGTGACGAGGATCTCTACAGGGACATGGTTCTCCAGAGCTGGGCTGCCTTGGTCTTGTGCTTGCACAAAAAACTGGTATACTTTATTCTCTGTCGATCAAAATTAATGTTTCAACTGTTGCTGAATTATGGCCACAAGTAGATAAGTATATTTGTGAGTGACTAACAGTAATAACGTTCAGCTATTTCAGTTTATCAAACTTGTACTTATTCTTAAACCAAAAATGCTGGTACATCTGTTTCTGTATTGAGCAAAATCAAGAGTTACCTCAAATAATGGGGAATCTTATAATGGAGAGATAATCAAATAAAGGGAAAGAATCATATAACTGGAAGAACATTAAATAATAAGAAGAATTAGATAATTGGGAGATAATCAAAAAATGGGCAGATAATCAATAGAATAAAATTTAGTTAATTTTTAGTAGTTTGCCATTGCCTTCTAAACGGGTGGCTTTCAATCCCACTGCTGCAGTCAATGCCAACTCACCTGGTACCAAATTATGAAACGCATATGCAAAGCCAAAGCCAAAGCTACTAAACAAAAGGATAAAAGAGATTGAAAGTTATACAAACCTACATCTCCATATCGGACCAATTTTTGTATTATTTTGAAACCCCACCCTGACTGTTGCAGGGGGCCCTAATATATATAACCTAACGGTTAACAGGGTTTCCAGGACCTCTCCACGGGTGATCCTCATCTGAATGGTGGCACTTTCACTCAGTCTGATGTCCTGGTGGGGTAACAAGTTAGTCGGTTAGTCGGAGATGGATCCCCCGTGTGGGCTCCGGGGTCCCGGGGAAAACAAGAATAGACCCACTGCCTCCCCAAAAGCATGTCGTAAGAGTCGACTAATTGGGGAGCTTCCTTTGAAGTCGGAGTGCATCTGCCGGAGAGGCAAGGAACCAACAGTCTGTATTCAAGAGAATGAGATCTGTAAAACTGATGCACACGCAACACTCAGGTTCTGGATCAGGACTGCAGTTCAGTAGTGGACGAGCAACCAGAACCTTCCGCCAGAGTTTACGCGAAGAAGAAGAAGAAGTCGGAGATGGAGAAATTAGTCGGAGATGGAGAAATTAGTCGGAGATGGAGAAATTAGTCGGAGATGGAGAAATTAACAGACAATGAAAGAGTGGCAAGAAAGACATTAAAACAAGACCACAAGGAAATAAAAACAAAAAACTATGATACACCCAACACACACAGAGAGGAAACAAATACCTACCAGCATTTGTTAATGATGCCTTAGTAGTGATCATCCCAGAAATGGCATCCACATCAAACAGCCTGTCGACCATGGGATCCTTGCCAGGCTGCAGGGTGTACAGAATTCTGGCATTGTTGCCTTCGTCCAAGTCTTCTGCCTTGATCTGTGTCAGTTTAAACTTTCCATGTTATGTTTGTTTTGACTTTGCATCACTGATATCATGTGTAAAATCACACTAAAGTCAAATGTGCCGAATGTCAAAATTCTATTTATCAGCTTTAAAAAAAAAAACAAATGTGACGAATGTCAATATTCTATTTATCAGCTTAAGAACAAATGTGCCTAATGTCAAAATTCTATTTATCAGCTTTTAAAAAAAACAAATGTGACGAATGTCAATATTCTATTTATCAGCTTAAGAACAAATGTGCCTAATGTCAAAATTCTATTTATCAGCTTTAAAAAAAAACAAATGTGACGAATGTCAAAATTCTATTTATCAGCTTAAAAACAAATGTGCCAAATGTCAAAATTCTATTTATCAGCTAAAAAGACAAATGTGACAAATGTAGAGTCCTTCCTGTACTGCCACTCTCATGCAGCATTGATTACACCAGCTCCAAGCTGCTACATATGAAAAAACATGACCTACTGGAATGCAATAACATTCACACAAACTGTTTTACACACTTTTTAATACAATTTCCATAATCATATTAGGATATAAGTATTCAACTGTAAATGTTTCAGTAATAGAATACAACATTTTCTTCTTCTTCTGTTCTCGACTCCTGGAATGCCTCGTGGCATCAGGGCAGGAAGAGGTCTTTGGAACGGGCCTTTCTGTTCACTTCATATAAATTACTTTTCAGTGTCTCTGATATTTTTGCAGTCCATTTTCTGCATGGTCGACCTCTGGCTCTGTTACCATTGTATCTATATAACATTGCTCTCTGTGGTCCCTTGTCTGTTACCTATCTTGTTACATGACCTAACCATTTGATGTCTACCTATAAAGTTCAGTATTGGTTATGTGCCGACTCTTCTTCTGATATCATTATTCCTAAGTCGATCTTTCCTAGTTACACCTAGCATAGTCCGTAAACATTTCATTTCTGTCGTGACTATTTTTCTTCTATCTTCTGAAGAAAAGTCCATATATGATATTGATAACATATCGTTGGTAAGAATATTGTGTTGAACAGTATTCTTTTAGTGTTCTTATTCACATGCTTGAATTTAAAAATTGGTGCCATTTGGCACAAAAGGTCACATATTATTGTTACTTTAATAAATGAATAAAATACACTAAGACATGTAACATTCTTTTCATGAAGGAATACAACTGAGCAGATTTTGGATTTTCTAACAGAAATACCCATATACTCTTACCCAGATTGATGATGTTCTAACAGAAATACCCATATACACTTACCCAGATTGATGAAATTCTAACAGAAATATCCATATACACTTACCCAGATTGATGATGTTCTAACAGAAATAACCATATACACTTACACAGATTGATGATGTTCTAACAGAAATACCCATATACACTTACCCAGATTGATGATGTTCTAACAGAAATACCCATATACACTTACCCAGATTGATGATGTTCTAACAGAAATACCCATATACACTTACCCAGATTGATGATGTTCTAACAGAAATACCCATATACACTTACCCAGATTGATGATGTTCTAACAGAAATACCTATATACACTTACACAGATTGATGATGTTCTAACAGAAATACCCATATACACTTACACAGATTGATGATGTTCTAACAGAAATACCCATATACACTTACCCAGATTGATGATGTTCTAACAGAAATACTCATATACACTTACCCAGATTGATGATGTTCTAACAGAAATACCCATATACACTTACCCAGATTGATGATGTTCTAACAGAAATACCCATATACACTTACCTAGATTGATGATGTTCTAACAGAAATACCCATATATACACTTACCCAGATTGATGATATTCTAACAGAAATACCCATATACACTTACCCAGATTGATGATGTTCTAACAGAAATACCCATATACACTCACCTAGATTGATGATGTTCTAACCGAAATACCCATATACACTTACCCAGATTGATGATGTTCTAACAGAAATACCCATATGCGCTCACCCTGATTTGTAGGTACAAATCCAAACAGAGCTAAACTTTTTTTTTTAAAGTGAACTTGGCTACCAGGTCGACTCAGTCTAAAATGGTTTTATGAAATATAGGCCTAGCCCTAAATGCCCAAAATACTAGCAACCTTCAAAGATACCCTGGCAAAACTGGCCACACACCATCACTAAGGGAAACAACAGGGGTGTAGGTGGCACTCAAAGGAGTTTTTCGCTGCACGGACAGAGAGATAACATAAGGGTCCTTTGCTATTTTTTTTTTATCATTTGCTCATCTTGATTTATGATACTCCAATAGAAATACTCTTATACACTCACCCTGATTATCGATGTCCCGAAAGACGCATTGCTAGCAACATTAGCTCGATACTCTTCCATCAGAAACTGGGGAATGTTGTCATTTTCATCCAGCACCCTGACTGCCACTTTTGCAAAACCCATTTTCCCGCCATTGTCTGCGGCCACAATAGTGAAGTTATATGTGCTGTGTGCTTCTCTGTCCAGTGCTTGCTTCAGTGATATCTCTCCTGTACAACAGATTAATTTGAATTTTTGTTGAGACAAGTACAGTAAAAAAAAAAAAAAAAATCACGACTGACTTTGAATTTAAAGGTTAAAGTGAGAAGATTGAATTCAATGTATTGGGTTTTATCTCACATAGCTCGGTCTATCTCTCTCTCTGTAGAGTGGCAAGCCACCTGATGAGAGCATCACACAAAGCAAGAACTCCGTAGCTCCAGCAACAATCCCCAGAAATCTCTGTCAAAATTGCACTCATTAACAGAATGGCACAGCAGTGAAATGAAACTATGACCTTCTGAGCATGAGGCAGACGGTTTGACCACTTTGCCATGGAGACTCCCACTCTTTGAATTACATCACTTAACCTCTCAACAAGTTAGAATTAAGACACCCATAATGACTGTATAAAGTACAGTGTTTTCCCCAAAAGTTAACCCTAGCATGAATTTTCAGGATAATATAAGCCCTAACTATAAATACTGTGACCTATACATGCGTAAATAAGGTACTTTCATTCTAGTATGTGTCTGCATCAATGTGGAATATCTAACTTCTTCTTCTTCTTCTTCTTTTCACTAGATTCTGTTTTGCTTTTCAGCATCAGATTTTAAAGAAGCATCTGGTGTGAGCCTAGGTAGGTGCTACATAAATGCTGGTATTCATGACCTCAGATATTTCCTGTGTGTATCACTTTCATGGTTCTGCTTCTGTTGTATATTTGAGCGTACTAGTGGCAGAACTTTCCTTTGTGCACTGTCTCGTGGTAATCTTGACACATTTCCAAACCAGTTCTAACTATAAACTAATTTACCTCACAAAATCAAATAGTTCCCTTCTTACCTGTATCAGCATCAATGCTGAACAACTTGGCCGTCTCATCACTGACTATAGAGTAAGCCACCATACCGTAGTTCCCTCTATCTTCATCCACAGCTGTGGCTGTGACAACCGTAGTTCCAACTGACTGGAGCTCAGATACACCAGCACTGTAGACAACCTTGCCAAACACGGGAGTGTGGTGGTTGGTGCTGCGAACATCCACAGATACCCTGGCAAAACTGGCATACACACCATCACTAACGGAAACAACAAGGGTGTAGGCGGCACTCAAAGCAGGTTTTCGCTGCACGGACAAAGAGATAACACCTGATTCTGGATCCATACTAAATGTCAGTTTCTCATTTCCTTCCATAATGCTGTAGAACAAGTTGCCAGCATCTGTTTCATCTGGATCAAAGGCCATGACTTTGGTCACTAGCTGACCTTGGGTGGCGGAGTCACTGATAAAGCAGCTGTATGATGGCATGCTGAAGGTCGGTGGGTTATCATTCACGTCTGACACCTGAAAATAATACAGATGGACACATGATGCAATGAAAACTTTCATAAATAAAAGAGTCTTTCCCATATGGTTGTACGCTGAACTCCAAGGCAGTAGCGCAGAAAGGGTGAAAGGTGTGGATCAGCTCTGGTGTCATCATTGAGGCAAGTGACAAAATGGTAAAAATAAATGGTTTTAAATTGGAAAAAAACAAAAACAACAACAACATGTGGGCAGAGGAAAATGGGGTTGGGAAAAGGGGAGGGGGTGTAAAAATTAAATGTTGTTAAAATAAAAACAAACTTATGTGGGGTGGGTGTGGGGGATATGACAGGGTACCACCTTACTTTGCTACTGGTCTATGGAACAAATCCAAGGGGCCTGTGACATCATTTATTTTTAACCCCTCCCCCTCAGCACACAAAAAATAACTATCTTTAAAATGCAATCCTTTTTGTGATTCTAGTATTTCAAAATTATAAACAGTTCTTCAGTATGACTATTAAACAGTGTGGTCCATGCAACCCTCGAAAATAAGGGGTCTGCAGATCTCACCAATTTGGGAACCACTGAAATAAATCAAGAACAGAATGTGACAGGTAAAATTTATGTTATAAAATGAAGATCATCTTATACAGCAAGTATACTGCTGTTAGAGGTTTCTTCTACTTGTTTGTGTTGAAGGGCTGTTAATTCCTGCGGAAAGTTCTGGTCGTTCGTCCAGTTCTGGACTTTTGTTCCATAACTTGAATTCTGTGAGCACATTTATTTTACAAAAATGATCATTTGTATGCAGACTCGTGGTTCTCGGCTCTCAGGTGGATGTGCTCTGCCTTCGCAGGAGAAAAATAAAACCCTAATTAATCACCTTTTACAGCATGGTTGTTAGGCAGGCAGTGGGTCCGTTCCTTTTGAATGTAATGTAGATGTTATAGCTTTACCTGAGACTGAACACACGTCCTACAAAGTGGGACACAGACACACTGATCCAGAGCCAGTATTCATCTGTAATAGGCTCACCCCTATTATTTAAGAATCACAGTAGCGAGATGAAGATTACAAATACATCTTCTTAAAATCAGTAAAAATAATTTTTTTTGTTTGAATGTTTGACACTATTTAAAATACCAACCTTGATGACAACTTGTGCAGTAGAATTCAACATTGGTATCCCACCATCCCTTGCTACAACCAAGAACCGGAACTCTTTCTGTCTCTCATGATCTAATTCCTTCCTGAGAGTTATCTCTCCTGTTTGTGTGTTGATAAGGAAGTTCTCAAGGTCTTTGCTGTCAGGGGTCAATGGAGAAAGGTCATAGTGCACCAGGGCATTGGCACCACTATCAGCATCAGTGGTGCTGACCTGAAGGATCTGTGTGCCAACCAGGGAAGACTCTGACAGTGACTGGGTGTAGACATTGCTGCTGAATACTGGCGGGTTGTCATTGACATCCTGTTTCGCCAAAATAGATCACAAATATTTCAAACAGTTTTATGAGGCCTAATTTACATTTGATAATTTTGTTTCCTCTTTAACTTACTCTGTAACAATCTATAAGTCACACATTGGTCACTAAATGATCAAATAAAGAAAACATCAATTACAGATTATAATTTACTGCCTAGTACATTTTGTTATAGAAGCCATAGGGTGAGAGCATGCATCTTTCCTGTAGCAACATACAGATGTGAGTCGTGAACTGTCTCCTAGTATTTAAAAAAGAGAATAGGGGCTTTTGAGCTGAAATGCTATAGAAAGATTCTCAGAATATCTTGGACAGAGAAGAGGAGAAATACTGACATCTGGAAAGATCTGAACATCAAGGAAGATTGGCTAATAAACAGCATCCTGTCTGGGAAGCTAAAATATTTTGGTCATATCAAGCACCGCGACGGATTGGAAAATGGCCTGGTACCAGGAAGGAGGGGCAAGGGCCGACCAACACGAAGATTGGCACAAGATATAAGTGACTCTTTGAGTATGAAAGTACATGAGGTGGGAGAACTGGCGAGAGACCGAGTTTTCTTTCAGGCAGTACGTGATAAAAGCGACGTTCTACAAAGGACCTGTTACATGATGAGTCATGGGGTGTAGCAGCTAGATGCTCACCTGCAGATCCAAAGGTCGTGGGTTCAGATCCCAATGGAGCCAGACTTTTTTTTTTAATTGACCCTGGCTGCCAGGTGGACCAAGCTTTAAATGGGTACCACATCACCCATCAAGGGTCGACTGGTCTACAAAATATAGGTCTAGCCCTATACACCTGAGGGCATGGAAAAGGATCTTTACTTTTTTTTTACTTACATTGTGCTAAATGCCACCAGCTGAATCCAACAGGGCTAATAAAACTAAGGATCCATGTGTGGGTTCTGGGGACCCATTGTGGGTAAAACAAGAATACACCAACTGTCTCCCCAACAAGCATGTCATAAGAGTCGACTAACTGGGACTTCATTCAAAGTCGGACTGCATCTGCCTGAGAGGCAAGGAACCAACAGTTTGCATCATACAAATAAATAAGAGCTATAAAACGGATGCACATGCAAAACTCAAGGCCTTGGAACAAGGCTAAAGTCCAGAAATGGATGAACAACCAGGTCTTTCCACCAGGGTTTACAGCCAGTGAACGCAAACAGCGACGACAGACCTAAGGAAATAAATTAACCCTCTGTAGCTGAAACTTGTAGAGGATTGATGTTTTTAAAATTCCAGTTTTCTTTAACTCTGTTTATACTATTGAATATTTGCTAGGAGGATGTTATTAACAAACCAAAACATTTGATGGTTGCCTGTGGTTTTGCTAGGCAATTGTTACATTCAGTAGTGTGCCACTGCTTTCTGAATGAACAGCTCCCGCTACCATTGTCAAAACCAATGCAAAGTGTTTTGCAGGCAAATCACCCACAGATGGATTTGAACCAGGCATCTCAGAATTACAAACCACATTTGCAACTCTTAAACCAAAGACAAAAACAGTATATATTGTTATTAATTATTATAATTATACTTTTAAGTTTTGGTGTCTGTGGCTTAGGCACTTCATAATGCTGGGGTGCCGAGTTCGATCCCAGCTGCGGACAGTTTGTCTCATATTGGTTTTAACAGTTGTACCAAGAGCTGACTGTTCGGGAAGCAATGGCAAACTACAATCCATAAAATATGCCTAGAAAAACCACAACCGCCAAAAAATGCTGGGGTTGGTTCTGTAATGTTCTGTTAAGGATACGCAACTAACTAACTATTAATTTAGGCATGCATCATGACAAACAAATCTCCAACACTGGAGATCTACAGAAATCCTACCTCTACAGTTACATTAATGGTCGCCTCAGCATAACTTCCTGTAAAGATGTCACTTGCTCTCACAATCAGCACGTACTCTTTCATTGTTTCATAATCCAGAAGATCGGCCACCGAGAGATAACCTGTGTCATGGAGGATAAAATATTCACATCGTTTCATTATGTTGTCTACATATTTTACTCCTGCTGACTGGTTAGTGTGATTGCTTTTCTTTTAAAATAACCAGTGCGTCAGAACATTTCTGCCATTGCCAACCCCAAGCCCAGATGAGAAAGGAGGAGGGCTGGGTAGGGAGCTAACTCCCTAACAATATAAAAATAACTTTACTACATACAGAACTCAGAGGAAAGGACAGAACAGAATAGAGGAACAGACTGCAATCACAGTGTGGCATATAATGGCAAAACAGGATGATGTTGATGATGAAGGTGATGTATCCCACCACAACACAAGGAACTGTATTGCATTAGGAAGGTTTAGAATCACGGCTCTGGTGTATCCTTTTTTTCTTTCTGCTTCTTTCTATGAGTACCAATCAATACATGTCTATCTGTTTATAACATGTATACTGATAAAAAAGTGGGCTCAAAAAAGAGGGTGACTGACAGTGAGGAATAAATACCCCAGACTAAAGCTACATCCCAGAGAGAGGGGCAGGGTAGGGGAGAGGGGAGAGAGAGAGAATGAGAGAGAGAGGGAATGAATGAACACAGTTTATTTTTAAAGACAGATGGAGAGAGTGAAACAGGGGATGGAAAGAAGAGGAGAAAGAGAGAAAAGAGAAACTGGATCTAAAATAATAAATATCACAGGCTGAATTAATGCCACTGAAGCAGACAGAAAATATTCATTTGACAAGGTATTATTCTGTACTATTTAGTGACAGTAAAAGGGCTTTCTTTCATGTACTGAGGCACTGAGCACATGACGATAGTTTTGTATGTTTTAGACCAGTCAGCCTACAAATAGTGATGTGGTCAATATCATATGGGTCACCTTTATTTCCCAAGAAAACTTCATGGTACCTCTGGAGATGAATAACAATCTTTGCCTTGATCTGCACTTGTCTTCTCCTTCTTCTCTAGTCCTGTTCTGCCTTTCAGCGCCAGGTTTTGAAGAGGCATCAGGTGCGAACCTTGGTATGTGCTAAGCAGATGCGGGTATTCACAGCCTCGGATATTCCATCTGTCTATCACTTGCATGGTCGACCTCTAGAACTGCTTCCATTATGTCTAAATGACAGGGCTCTCTGTGGTGAACTAACTGGTGGCAGTTTTCACACATGTCCAAACTATTTGATCTGTTGTCTCTTGAGGTAGTTTAACACTGGTTCCATCCAAACTTCTTTCCTGATATTGCCAGTTTTAGGATTCAGCATACATGTTTCATTTCTGCTGCTTAGATATTTTTTTTTCCTGATGTCCACGTTTAGCACTAATAAAACAATTATCTTAAAAATAGTCTGCATAAGTAACTTTTTGATAAATCTGTGTTCAGAGTTTCACTGCTAACCTATTCACAAAATAATCTGCTGTGTAAAATGTGCACAATCCACCGAAATGATCAAAGAAACATGCAATGACTGCAGACTAACATATTAAAGCTGTGAGAAATACAAATGCATACAGCTGCAGAAAGGCATTAATAATTATGTATTAATTATAACATGCACAATACATGCTAGATGATGATTCATTCAACACACACAAAATTTATCCATCCAGCAAATGGCAAATTTGGGATCACAATAGCGAGTGTCAAATTTGGTAACACAATATCAAGTGTCAAATTTGGTATCACAATATCAAGTGTCAAATTTGGTATCACAATATCAAGTGTCAAATTTGGGATCACAAAAGTAAGTGTCAAATTTGGGATCACAATAGCAAGTGTCAAATTTGGGATCACAATAGCAAGTGTCAAACTACCCACACCCATCAAAAATGCAACAGTTTTCTTTGTTCATGCTTTGCAAAATCTCAAGCATAACAACACACTGATCATGCAAAAACCCTAAATGTTGTTTTTGGGTCCCAGTTTTTCTGTCAGTCGTAATGTGACTCGTTATGCAAAGGATCTACTACATGATAATTAGGAACATTCAAGAATGTGATCTAGCTATCAAAGCCACTTACTGGACAAGCCTAGCTAGTAACAAAAGACATGACTGAGTGAGTGAGATTCATCCCCAACAGGACATTCACCAAGCGATAAACACCTAGTGACACAAAGTGCCACCATGCGGATGAGGATCACCGGGGGAGAGGTCCCAGAAACCCCGCTCAACTGTTAGGTTACATTACAGCCCATGTCTACAGCTGGGGTGGAGCTTTAACTCTTTGAGTCCCAAGGAACGCATCATACATTTTTAGGTTCCTACCTAGAAGCCCAATGAACGCATGATGCGCTGATTTTATTACTTTCTTTACTACCCACTGGGCCTGTGATGCTAAACCCCCTGGGACTCAAATAGTTGAAATAACGAAAAATTGTGTACCATATTGAGACAACAGATAATGTGTGTGGTGGGGGAGGGGAGGGGGGGGGGGGGGGGGGGGACATGATCTGAATTAAGCCAGAATTTTTAAAAAATTAAGCTAAATCAAGATTTCAACATTGTAAAATATGAATAATCCTAGCTGATTACAACAAAGGGTTGTATGACTATCCAAAGGATTTCTATCACAGACCCAGTCTTCAAGACTGACCCAGATTAAAATTAATAATCAGGAAATGTCCTTTAATGTAAAGGTGCCTGAAGGGATATTACTCACATCACTCATCAAGTGTCAAAATTAGCCTGTAAATATTTGACTAGCATGTAAAAGACATAATTCATCTGTGTGGGGGGAAAAACAACTGCTGGATGAAACAAATGCTGGAAGACACCATCTATGGGTGCAAAAGGCCATGAAAACAAGAGATAATTTATAAATACAAGTGACCATCCATGGGTGCAAGAGATCATGGATCTAACAGATAATTTATAAGTTGCAAGTGAGCATCTATGGGTGCAAGAGATCATGGATCTAACAGATAATTTATAAGTTGCAAGTGACCATCCATGGGTGCAAGAGATCATGGATCTAACAGATAATTTATAAGTTGCAAGTGAGCATCTATGGGTGCAAGAGATCATGGATCTAACAGATAATTTATAAGTTGCAAGTGAGCATCTATGGGTGCAAGAGATCATGGATCTAACAGATAATTTATAAGTTGCAAGTGAGCATCTATGGGTGCAAGAGATCATGGATCTAACAGATAATTTATAAGTTGCAAGTGAGCATCTATGGGTGCAAGAGATCATGGATCTAACAGATAATTTATAAGTCCAAGTGACCATCTATGGGTGCAAGAGATCGTGGAAACAAGAGAAAATTTATAAGTTGCAAGTGAGCATCCATGGGTGCAAGAGATCATGGAAACGAGATAATTTATAAGTTGCAAGTGACCATCCATGGGTGCAAGAGATCGTGGAAACAAGAGATAATTTATAAGTTGCAAGTGAGCATCCATGGGTGCAAGAGATCATGGAAACGAGATAATTTATAAGTTGCAAGTGACCATCCATGGGTGCAAGAGATCGTGGAAACAAGAGATAATTTATAAGTTGCAAGTGAGCATCCATGGGTGCAAGAGATCGTGGAAACAAGAGATAATTTATAAATACAAGTGACCATCCATGGGTGCAAGAGATCATGGGAAAAAGAGATAATTTATAAGTGCCAGTGACCATTCATGGGTGCAAGAGATCATGGGAAAAAGAGATAATTTATAAGTGCCAGTGACCATCCATGGGTGCAAGATGTCAACAACATTCCTTGGCACAAGAAACTATCAAAATGATTTTTAAAAGATGTTCATAAGGCTGTATGTGTGTACAAGAGACTACACAAATGGTGCAAGAAACCAACCTAAAGAGCACAACATAACAAAAATAGGTGCAAGATATCAGCAAATGAGTACAGAAGACCAACAAAAATATTTTCCAAATACCTCCAAACAATACGTACAAGAAAGCATTTTGTTGTTTAAATTATCCTGTCAATAATGAGACTAAAAGAAGAATGCAAAAGAGCATTCTTTGGATGCAAGATATCAAGAGGACAACTGTGGGAGAAACTAGGTTTGGGTATCAATAAGAAACATATTCTTGTGGTGTCAAAGACCATCCTATGGGAACAATCAAAGACAATCCAATGGGAACAATCAAAACCATCCAATGGGAAGAATCAAAGACCATCCAATGGGAACAATTACCCCCTACACTTCAGGTGGGAGACACTCTTTACCCAAGCTTATGAAATTATTAATGTTTGAAGAGTGTCACAGTCTTGTAGCAAGTCCTTTACAGAATGCTGCTCCCATCACAGCTTGCCAGAAAGAAATTAAGTTCATGACTAACATCTTTATGGAAGCAAAAAGGATGCACTTATGGATACACTTGCTATTTGGAAGGTAAATGCTCTCAAAATTTTGACCTTGCTGGTGCTTTGCCATGAACTTTTAATGGAAGATAAAGATGGTGATTAAAGGGGAAAGCTCCATTAACTTTTCAAAGACAAACTGTTTACAAAACAGGTATAAAACACAGAGTGGTGGACAGAACATTATATGCACACATTTCAAAACTGTATCAGTGCTTTATTTCTACACAATCTAAAGCAGGTACGTCAAACATGCGGTCCTATGTAAGCACACTGGCAGTCTGCAGTAAAAATATTCTGCAATAATTTAAATGACTTAAATTCACTGTTGTGTGTGGCCCTAATGATGACACAAATATGACCCATATGGCTCCTTGGGAGACACTCTGTCTGATATGCCTGCTCTAAAGTGTTCATAGAATGGGTTAATGTACAAGAATACTGGAATAAAAAGACTTCTGAAATGTATACCATGTACACAATAATTAAAGAATGTATGGTGGGTTGCACGGTAACTGAAGAACGTATGGTTGGTTGCACGGTAACTGAAGAACATATGGTGGGTTGCACAGTAACTAAAAGAGTTAGACTTGTTTAATTAATGTACGGAATCAGATAATATTTCACATCAAATCTTAGACAACATTCCTGTACCAAACCCAATTAGTTTTTAAGAGTTAATTTGGATCCCA